TCCGGAGTCAACTCCCACCGTATCGACTAACTCCATATATTCTTTCAAATTAAAACAAGCACAGGTAACTTAACAGAGTTAAATAAACAAGAGAGAGAGAAGGTAATGTAGCCTATTCATTTATAACTCTAGGAGTCGTAGGACTCGGATCTGTGTCATTTTAGCGCAGACACGAGAAAGACATTACAATAATGTACTTATTAATGTTTATTCGTTTGGGCAGTTTTTAAAATGTTATAATTAGTTTAATGATTGTGATGAATACAAATTAGTATAAACCAAATGCATGTATTGAAAAAAAAAAAAACTTCCATGAAACCATAAAGCTGTCACGGAGGATTTAATTAGGCCTACATGTAAAGTTACTATGGTTACTATTTTTTTTTTTAAGAACGCTACATAGGATAAATATCACTGTAAGGTTTTTCCATTTCCATTTTATTTGGATTTACTATTTGACAGCATGCATATCGTATTGAAGGCAAGAGGAGCACACTGTTTAAATAAATGTTTTTCACCTGTTTTAAATGTGAAAGTGTTGGTGTGGAGAAAAATTAACCACTTTTATTACCCTAAACATTTTCTTTAAAACGCTGTAGGCTACCTGATATTTTCTATATTCTAACCCAATGATTAATAATAAATAGATGTTTAATTAATGTTTATTATTAATTACATTTGTACGTTCTGTTTTAGAACATCCTTGAGTACGTTTTTCCCTTTGCAAATTATTGATGTGTAAAATGTGTTGCCACTGCTTAGTGTAAACCAGATTTATACCTCTTAAAATCTTTAATTTCTTCTCTTTTTTTTTTACAAGTTCTTATAATGCAGCCTTTGCTGCCATCTAGTGGACGAAGCAGACAGTTGACAAAGGAAAAGTACAGTACACAATGTTCACAATTTGTTTCTTTCAAAAGCCATCCATCTAGTTCTCAGACATCCAAACATGTAACACTTGATGATATTTCCATGTTTTAACCATGTTTTAATGTTGACATTACATTTAATCACATTCATTTTTATTATACAAGCCTTTCTCTTCAAAAGTTTATATGACTGAAAATAACATTCAACATGGGGCATGCCTGCTTTGCATTGTAAGAATGAGGAAGGGTTGTGACTGCAACATCAACAGACTATAGGAGATCTCCAATCTGTTTATAGAGACTGCAATGTCCATCTAATGGAATGACTGTCAAGGCGTTGCTCTTTCTACAAATGGCTGTGGCAAAAGTATAGTGTCTTGTTGCGCCAACACAAACAAACACAGGAGAAGCTGACTGCAACTGCATACCCATATATGTTATGTACATACACAGAATTACATACTTACAAGAAAATGTAAATACTGTATATAAAGAAACAATCAAAAAAATCTAATTGAAATCGGAATTCTTGAGACGAAACATTAACATTAACACATCTTTTCATCAGGGAGGATAGAAACATTGAGCGTAAATCACCTCATCTGAGCATTTTACAAGTCCATCTCTGTGTGGTACATTCATACAGAGAGTAAGACCGTTTGAGAGCGAAACAGTTTGAAGAGCTTCAGAAATGCAGTCTCCGTTACAGAGTCCATGCATGGGCAGCTCTCTTTCTCTCTCTCTTTAACTCGGACACATTTGAGACACATTCACATTAATGTACAGTACATCACAGTCATTGAGCTTCGCCTAAGCTTTATTATGACAATGTAAGTCTACCGCCAATAGGACAGGTCATTCGATAAGGTCACTGCAAAACCCTCTTCAAGTGGAATACCATCCCAGGTTTAGATGAGAAACTTAATTATGATCACCCGATGAGTGGTGGTATTCCATAACTAAGAGGTTCAATGTTGTTTTCATGGAAACAAAGGTTTAAACTATTTCCCATTTAGGTCAATAAGCACATTCAGTCATTGCACTTCTTGGTAAATTTGGAAAAATCAGGATTTCACACAGGGATTTACAGTACTTTCAGATGATTGCTCACCCCATTGCAATTTCAGTGCAACTAACCTGGGTCTAACATGTAACTCAAGTGCTGATTTCCCCTGATAATGAATGAAAATAATGAGGTGTATGGAAGATACAAAAACAAAAACCAACCAAGCAACCAACAAAACAAGCATTTACACTCCAAAGCGGCCCCACGCAATCAAAGTCAACACAGGATTCTAGTTAATAGTGCTACTGTACCTTTAAAATTCCACTATAGCTACACGTTATTTTAAAAGAGTGGATGAAAATCACGTATGGCACAATCAAGTTCTCTATGATCCCAACCTACAGACAAAATGACTAGATTTTTTTTCCCTCAAGCCTGGTTTAAATACACATATAGCGCATGTTTATCAAGATGAGGCCTGAGAAAGACAGTAATCTACTGCTGATCCAGTCCTTTCTGAATGCACACAGACACAGCTGTGACTTGTATCACAGAACATGTTCTTGAACAACTCAAACAAATTCTGATATGACTCCATTAGCTGTTATTGCAAAATGTTTATCATACCACAATAATAAAATATAGATGTTAAAAAGTAGATTGATCCTCTGAAAAGTGTCTAAAAGTGTCCAAATAGTTCATCATCGCATTCTTAAAGTACATAATAAGTCTATGTAATTGTGATTGTGAGTGTAATATGTTGATTTTATTTGGATTTCCTATTTGGCAGCAATATTGTATTGAACTGCAAGGCTCTTGAAATAAAAACGTCACAATGATGTAGCGTATTATTTTTAAATAAATTATTTTCATTTTTTAAAATAGTTTTAACTTAGAAAAATGTTGGTGATAAAAAAATAAATCACATTTATTACTCTAAACATTTTCGTTAAGAAACAAGATACCTGTACCTGGCCCTTAAAATATTTCCTTTCAATTATGGCTTCTCACAGAACATTTAAATCTACTGTGATGTTTCTCACATGATATATTTTTTGTTCTCAGTAAATATCAACTTTTTGCTAATAATCCACAATAAGTCAGGCCCACAAAGCCCTGCACTCAGAACAATATGGCTGCCAGTGAGATTTTGAAAAACTAGGTCTATGTCCATGCCAAGCAAGTAAGATAAAAACCTCAGCTCAAATTTTCATAACTTCAGAAATGTATAGCTACATCAGTATTCTTGGTGAGAAATAAATTCATTTTCAGGGCTGTGTGAACAACCATAAGACAGCGAATGCTAAAACTGAAAAAAGAAAGAAAGATGTATGTCCATTTTAGAACACCAACTGTGTTATAAAAATAGTTGATTTATGAAATTCCAATGAAAAACAGCAGTAATGTTAGAGACTATAAAATATCACCTTTAACTAATTTGGATAGATACAATGGGATTTCACTGGGAATACACTGACATGTCGGGGTTTTTAGTGTACTTGTAGACAAAACATTATAAAGTCCTGAACTGATCATGATGTAATTGTAAGGAACAGCTGCATTTATGTCTTACATGTTGCTGATTGTTAGCCCTAAAATTCAACATTTACCAATGGCACATAGTTCAGTGATATTATATTTTTGGCACAATATGTTCAAATACAGTTATTATTCAACATGAAACTGCAGTTTAAAAAAGACATTAAATAATACCAAGGTTGATTCTGTGGTCTCCCATACCACCTTTGGTATCTCTAAAATGACTAATCTAACAACATCTACTTGTACGAATAATTCAAATACGAAACAATAAATAAATGAATAAATAAATTGACAAACAGCGAGCTAGATAAATAATTCTAAATTAAATAAATATGTTTTCCCTCATGATTCCTGGCATGATATTTTTTAAGATATAAAAAAATAATTAACATTCTTACCTCTGAATATGCATATGGTGCTTTACATAGCTTTACAAAACATAAATGTACATAAATACACTCTTGGATTCACAGAAAATTGTCACTCTCAGGTTCTCTATATTATCACTTTAGGGACATGAGAATAGTCGTTTTTATTGTATTTTACTTTCTGCTTGAACTATCTACAAATACCCTTTTTTATAATTGAAAATATTGATTTACTTTATTTTTCAATGCAAATGACTGCTAAGGACTCAATTTTGGGGAGAGTGAAAAACAAAAATAACTGACCGCATTCTAATAGGAAAAGAGACGGATATAGCTAAATAAAAAAGGACTAGCAATGGTTCTTATAGCTAAAGCTCGAGCAGGTACTGAACAAAATGAGCTCATTTTTGGATCAGAATTAGCCTCCCTTTCTATGCGTTTTGCTGGGCCAAAGTCTGGATCTTAGCACTCAAAACAGAGCACTTCAAAAAACTCTCCATCTCAAAACCACCAAGAACCCATAAAGACTATTGATCACATTCTGAATAATTACTTTTAATTGGGTAAACTTTATTTTACCATGCCTTAGTGGGAATTATGAAATTAGAAGAGGCTCAGTTACAATTTAAGAAAGATAAGTGCAAACTGAATTGATCAAATCAATTCCTGAGGATAGAAGAGTCAAGAGGCATTCAAATACGGAACAATTCGCTCTCTTTATCCTTGTTGCAGCCACCACAAAGCTATATGGGAACTGAAACAGACAACATGAGAGAAACTGCTGGAGTATCTTTATCATGATGAAGAATGTTCAGTTGAAAACCAGTTGAAAACTTGATCTATTTTGATAATTATAGTATTATCTTACATGTGATAATGAAACACTTATGGTGGTTTCAAGTCCTTTTCTGCTCAAGTGTCAAAATACTATGCTGCCTATACTGAAAAGTAAAAGAATAGTTCACCCAAAAATTATTCATCCTTATCACTCAAAATATATATTTTTGTTATCAGCAGGTTGCTGTCTTAAATTTTTGGGTGAAGTATCCCTTTAAATAACCAACAAACCATAAAATGACAAATAACATAAAAATAACTCAAATAAAGGATTAAGACACTTAGAAACACTGCAGAGAGTTTCCTGAATCAAATATTTTTTTCTGAACCCAATTCTTTGTCCAAAGGCCAGACAGCTACCAAAAACCATATAATTACCACATGATAAGTAGTTCACTATCATCTCCCAACCTTCCCACACAAAATGTGAGGAAAAAATAAATAAAAAATGCTCAGTGCTTGGCTCAACAGTTACTATTTCATCAAGCAGCAGTTGGTATGAGTGTAGAAAATGAGAAAATATCACTTCACGATAATGGTGGGAGGAAAATACCACCAAAACTCTCTTTCCTGAACATTTTCCCTCATTTTTATTCCTGGCATACCTGTAACTCTCTCTATCCCTTTTTTCTCCTCTCACAGAGGCAAGTCGGTGCTGTTGTGGCGTGTCTTCCGTGAGGTGCCGTCATCCCGAGGGAGAGCCTTCTGTAGGTTGGACATGGCTGCGGTCTTCTTTAGGTCAATCACGGCGTAGCATTCTCCACGACGGGAAGATGGAGCCGCTGCGGCGGCGGCTGCCATGCCACGTTTGAGGGGAGGAGGTCTCTGTGGTACCGGAGCCCCTCCTCCGTGTCCCGAGCAACCAGAGGGCTCACCCTCCAGGTCCACCTGGATGTAGTTGAGCTGGCGAGAGGGGGGAGGCGGCGGGTGACGGCTATGCTGCTCGCAGGTGGCGCTGCCACGTCCTGCTCGCTGACGTCTGAAGTCGAAGTTGAAAACCCGGTTGGCCCTCTCAGAAGGGTGAGGGTGGGGATGGCAAGCGTGACGAAGACGTGTTGGAGGCTGTATCTGTTAAGAGTTTGCATGCAAGTACATTTCAGTGTTACTAGTCACAGGGTTCCCACACTTTTTGACTAATGACTTTTCCAGATTTTTAAAAACTTATTTTATACAGATTCAACTCTCAAAGAGCAATACCTAGCCAACTAAATTATTTTAGAGTTGAGCATAACTATAAAAGTACATAATCACTACATAAACGTTCTTGACTCTGTGACTTTCATGTGATCTTTTTTATATTCATATTGTATCATCATTTTTATAATACATTTATTTTTTTATATTTCATTTTCAATTCTATTATATTTGATTGAAATTTGACTTTTGAATTTATATGACTTTTCCAGGCTTTACAATTCCTTGATATTTCCCTGGAATTAGATATACACTCACCTAAAGGATTATTAGGAACACCGCACTAATACTGTGTTTGACCCCCTTTCGCCTTCAGAACTGCCTTAATTCTACGTGGCATTGATTCAACAAGGTGCTGAAAGCATTCTTTAGAAATGTTGGCCCATATTGATAGGATAGCATCTTGCAGTTGATGGAGATTTGTGGGATGCACATCCAGGGCACGAAGCTCCCGTTCCACCACATCCCAAAGATGCTCTATTGGGTTGAGATCTGGTGACTGTGGGGGCCATTTTAGTACAGTGAACTCATTGTCATGTTCAAGAAACCAATTTGAAATGATTCGAGCTTTGTGACATGGTGCATTATCCTGCTGGAAGTAGCCATCAGAGGATGGGTACATGGTGGCCATAAAGGGATGGACATGGTCAGAAACAATGCTCAGGTAGGCTGTGGCATTTAAACGATGCCCAATTGGCACTAAGGGGCTTAAAGTGTGCCAAGAAAACATTACACACACCATTACACCACCACCACCACCAGCCTGCACAGTGGTAACAAGGCATGATGGATCCATGTTCTCATTCTGTTTACGCCAAATTCTGACTCTACCATCTGAATGTCTCAACAGAAATCGAGACTCATCAGACCAGGCAACATTTTTCCAGTCTTCAACTGTCCAATTTTGGTGAGCTCTTGCAAATTGTAGCCTCTTTTTCCTATTTGTAGTGGAGATGAGTGGTACCCGGTGGGGTCTTCTGCTGTTGTAGCCCATCCGCCTCAAGGTTGTGCGTGTTGTGGCTTCACAAATGCTTTGCTGCATACCTCGGTTGTAACGAGTGGTTATTTCAGTCAAAGTTGCTCTTCTATCAGCTTGAATCAGTCGGCCCATTCTCCTCTGACCTCTAGCATCAACAAGGCATTTTCGCCCACAGGACTGCCGCATACTGGATGTTTTTCCCTTTTCACACCATTCTTTGTAAACCCTAGAAATGGTTGTGCGTGAAAATCCCAGTAACTGAGCAGATTGTGAAATACTCAGACCGGCCTGTCTGGCACCAACAACCATGCCACGCTCAAAATTGCTTAAATCACCTTTCTTTCCCATTCTGACATTCAGTTTGGAGTTCAGGAGATTGTCTTGACCAGGACCACACCCCTAAATGCATTGAAGCAACTGCCATGTGATTGGTTGATTAGATAATTGCATTAATGAGAAATTGAACAGGTGTTCCTAATCCTTTAGGTGAGTGTATATTCCATACATTTACTTGCTTGTGCTTTTGTTGATGTACCAGTTTAGTAGTCACAGGTTTTTCCACATTTAAAAAAAAATCTTTTTTATAGATTGAAGTCTCTAAGAGCAATACTTTTTTTTAGAGCTAAACATAACTATAATATACAGTATATTGTTATAGTCAATTGTTATACATGTTATATATTTTATTATATTTATGAAATTGATCTAATTTGCCTAGAAATCCCTATTTTACAGTTCCCTGATTTGCAATTAGATTTGGCATATTCTCACAAGCAACATGTATTTGCTTGTGCTTTTGTTTACACACCTGTTCAGTGTTGACATAGTTCTGCAGAGCATCGCGATGAATCCCACCGCCACTCTCCTGATGATATCCGTTTGGGGTTGTGGGCCCTTCAGAATACTCGTACTCATCATATTCTTCTTCCTCTTCCTCCTCATACTCATCCTCATCCTCGTCTTCATCCTGATCCTCTTCTTCATCACGCTGAAGCGCACGGTATTCCCAAACCGGGGGGAGCGAAGGAAGGTTTTCATAGTTGAGCAACGCGGTGCGCCGATGACCACCAACCCCCATTCCCCGGTCACAGCCATATCCCTGCGGAGGCAGTGAGGAAGCGTGTGTGTGCGTCAGCGGGAGGGAGTGCGGATGTGTGTGTGTGCGGGAATCACCGGTGGTGCTGCTACTGCTACTGGAGCCCAAAGACTGAGATTGGGACACAGTGCTCGGACTTAGCCTTTGCCTACGTGCCCCTCGGAGTCCGTTGATATTCTCATATGTCAGCTGGCTTTCTGAGCAAGGCTCCATGCTCGGGTGTCGGTGCATTAGATGATGGCAATGGTGATAGGAGTGTGTGTTGCACATGTGTACGGACGGAGTCTCCTCTCCTTCTGTTTCAGAGCTGCCATCTGGTGCTCGAAGCGGGTGAGTGACGTGACGGTCTCTGTCTCTTTCCATCATGTGGCGCTGTGCTGGGGTCGGACCCAACATGAACTTCACCTCCTGAGCTCCAGGCTGGAGGAAGACCTGAGGGTCTTTGTGAGGGTCGTCCAGAGGGCAGCAGTGCAAGCTGGGCTGGCCCGGGACTGGGCCCCCACGTATGGTGGTGGTAGTTGAGGTTTCCGGGTAGGTGGTGGGCCGAACTTCGGGCAGGGAGTGGACACAGTGGCGGCTTGAGAGGTCAGTTTCCATTCCCACTGTATTCACATATGTATGAGTCTGAAAACAAGCGAGAAAGTTTCGTAACTTGCTATTTAAGTGACTTGCTGCACAATAATTGCCTGGGCTAAGTGTTACAGTATGGATATTTGAACACCTGGAAAAAGATTATTTTATATGCACACTATTTTTAATTTTTGATCACCTAATTAATTTCAAGCAAAGTAAGTTTTATTATTATTCAAATGTACAAGGGCCTCAAAAGTCTTTTAGAAATGTAAGCCAAACTTACAAATGCATGAATTGTCAGTGCATTAAAAGATAAATCAACATCAAATAAAGAGGCATTTATAAAATAGAACAAACACACTTATCAAGCGAAACACTTCACTTATTAGAAGCTATGAGGTTTAAAAAGTTTGTGAAACACAGTTAAATGTTATTAACTTGAATCTGTGGTTATTCTGCTAGAACCCCTGTGTGAACTTGAGGGGAAGTGACCTCATGCATCCACTGAAATTATTTTTTGAGATGAATTGGTTAAGGGTTAGTTCATCCAAAAATTACAATTCTATCATCATTTACTCTCATGTTGGTCCAATGTTATTTTGGACCCAAATGACAAAAAAATCCACAAAATTTGTTCCGCAGAAGAAAGAAAGTCATACAGGTATGGATCGACACGAGGGTGAGTAAATGATAATAAAATGGTAATTTTTGGGTGACCTTTCCCATTGCAAAATCAGCTTATTTTTGGAGAAAAGTTCTAGCATTGTTTGTTTGGTTTGGTATGTTGTGGCTAATGCAGTCCTGCTTGTGCATCCAGATACTTTTTGTGGCTTCTGTATATGTGCACAGGCAGGTGTTTGCTCTCACTTGGTCATCCAGTCCCATGAGGCTGTGTCTGAGGTCGTTGGTGAGAGAGGGCTGTGATGAGTCTGCACTGATTGGGTATCCTGGGTATCCATTAGGAAAACCCTGCATCGGGAAGGCTGGGGCTACACAAACAGAACAAAGCACAGTACACTTAAGCAGGTGACATTTAGGCATCCCTCCTATAAAAGTTCTGTTGATTATGAGCAAGACATAAAAATAAAGTTGTGAGAGACATTTAATGAATGGAGAGATATGTAAATACAGGTGGCTAGGTGTTTAAATGTGCATGCACTTTTTTTTACTGATAAAAAAAAGCCATACCATTGATGTGACATTGAAATTAATTTACATGTACATATGAAACCCTATGTTATAAGTGTGTAGATAGGCTATTCCAGCTCACTATTGGGTGTCTGTGGAGTTCGAGGCATGTCCATCTCTGGCGCATGCCCGGGCCGGGTCATGATCATAGGCTCTTCCACCACATTGATGCTGTTACACTGCATTAACTCCTGCAGCAGGTTGAAGATCTCTTCTGCACGAGAGCACTTGAATGCAAATATCCCTGTCAAAACATACAAGAATAACAAAAAAAAGCAAGAAAAATAGTAAATGCATAGGTGGATTGTCACTTTTATGCATGGGGGAAGGCGCAAAAATATATTGGCAGCATGAAATTGAACTTAATTTAACAATAACTACAATTAATATAACTAGTATGCACATTAAATTAAATAGCCACATCAACCACCCCATAAACAGAGTGCAACAGTCAGGTTCCATAAGGAAAACTCATTCCATTTTCTCCATAAGGAAATTGATTTTTAACAATAACTTACAAACCTTTATAGATCACGATAGGCCTACTGTTCAGAGTTCAGAGGTTAATCAATGGTATATGCTTCAGCAGACATTATTTTAACTTATTTTTTAAATAATTGTGCTTAACAGCTACATTTATTGTGAAAAAGTACATTACCCATGATGATGATGCTGTATAAAAATTCCACCAATCAGTCGCAACAAGCAAATCGGGCCAAAAGAGCCTCCATGAAGCACTCCGAATGACGTTAAAATACTTAATTATTTATATTTATATGCATTTTTTGCAATAAACCTAGAATATATTGTTTCTATTGATTTAATCAACAACTTTAAATTAAAGCCATTGAGTACACGGTCTTGTACATTTGTCTTTTTCTCCGATTTTCAAATACTTTTTGCTTCAAATAAAACTTTGTAACATTGTGTTTCACCTCATAGCTGGTTGTCTTGGTGGCAAAAACGAATGGAAAAATTCTTCCGGAACCAATGCCACTGAAAAAGTGTGCGGATATTATTGTACTCTATATATACCTATGAACAAATGTAACACACAATTCAGTCTTACATCTGCATAATGTAAAGGTAAGAATCATCTCACCTTGTCCTGTCTGACAACGACGGCCACTCTCGAAAGAGAAGAGGTTGGAATCGTAACCATATCGCCGCAGGCAAAGGTATGGCCACCGGATGGCGTCACGTTTGCGCGTGTGCAGAATGAGCTCTGTCTGGGTGAGCTCCATGGTTCCTGAGCCCAACTCATTTCCCTCATCATCCACATTAGTCACCTGTCAAACAAACCCAGTTATCTCAGATCCAAATGATGCTCTACTAAGCAAACTTAGCAGCTGTTGTCAAATGTTGCACTTAAAATATTTACCACCACAGTACTTCTTTAAAAGGTTTGTTTCTATCAGAAAGTGTGAATACACAGATGTCTTTTGAAAAGCACCTTGAATTTGTTGAGATGGTTGTCTTGGATAGCGTCTCTGTATAGACAGCTCCAGCAGCTCCCCATAGCTTCAGCAGGCCAGCTGAAACCTTAAACAGGGACAAACGGGTAAGTTATTGCTAGAAATATATGGAGACAGATAGAAGTTAATAACCAGGACATTTATAATTTGTTATTTATGCATAAAGAGATGACTGAAGACAAAAAGTACACTTATGCATGCTCACCTGGTCCAGGCCATTAGTGGGAGTGATGCTTGCGTCAATCCCAGAATCCTCTGCTGGGTGTCATGGCGGAAGTGGGGTGTGCTTGTAAGAGCATCCAGGCCCAGTGCACAAATATTTCATTTCTCCTATGAAGCAGAGAAAAAGAAGAGACTTGATGTACAATCCTCCGAGTATACTGTCCTCTTTTTTCAAGAACTACTGTGATTAAGACACAGGGAATGAAGTTTATCTGTGTCTCCTCTGACTCCCACTGGAGAAATAAAACGTAATTACTTTACTGGGAATCTTATTCTCAAGAGAAAAGCAGCTTGCAATTCATGGTTTCACATTCAGCCTATAAGATGTGCACTGATCCTTAAAAAAAAGATGGCTAATAAATGATAACCTCATTTTGTATTTCAGGTGGCTTCAAACACAGCAAAAAAAGCTAGTTCTGTGTTCAATTTAATGTCATAAAAATGATGCTGGTATGTAGAAACAGTAAAAATGCAACTTTTGATTGTGTGATCCCACCACGAAAATGCATTGTTGTGTTACTGTGTTTCCCCAGTAATTGTAATAATGTATTATTATATTAAAAACCCATAGACAAAATTTCAACAGGTGTCATTACTTTCTGTAAGTGTGGAATGATCACTAACTACTATCTAATTCAGTGTAAACATGATTTTAGACCATTCATGAACTGAATCTCAAAATGAATGTCAGTAAACATGTTTAGTGTTTTTAAAATATGCAAGAATAACATGCACCTGCTTAAAGTTTAAAACACAAACGTTGACTACATGTGTTGATCACTTAAAACGAAACACTATAAAACTGTAAATATTTGTGTCCATCAATTAAAAACCAAAGATCAATTTCTGCAAGTAACAAGTAATGCAAGTTCATCAACACAGCAGTTCATCAGAAAATCACGTTAATTAAAATGTTCACGAGCATGCTGGACCACATCAGAAAATCTCACAATGTATGAATAAAAACAATAAATAAAAATAATACCTTTTGCTCTCAAATCAATGCAAATTATTTTGCAATGAATACCTAAAACATGCAAAAAATATATATAACATGAAAACACTATTTCATTCTTCAAACTTTTTGCTCTGATTCTCTGCATGCTTGTAAAAACTAGGAACTACCATGAAACAAGAATGAAAAATAGAACAAAAAAAACTTTAATTAATGGCAAGTGTGTTTTGTGTAAACTACTGTTTGTGTCTAACATTTAAACAGCAGCTTTGTAACAATGACTTCCACAAGAATGTAAACTCAAATCCAATTCATATTACAAAAAAAAAAGAGATTAACTACTATATAATGCTAAAATATAACTTGTATATTTGTTGTCTGTTTTATAATATTAATAATATCAACATTAACATGACTCAAAATTACTAATCCAGTGCTCAGGCTGGTCAACATAGCATCACGAGCATTTAAAATGCAATAACTTGTTTCAATAAAATGAAGTATGCATGATTAGGCTAAATTTAAAAAGGTTCATGCTGGAAGATGACAGAATTTTAAATGTGTACCTGGCCCTTCAGTTGAATTCATGAGCAACTCATTAATAAAGTTTGTCCTGCACATGAAGGCCCAGTCATAAAGTTGCTTTCCACATAACCCCAGACTAACATAGTATTAGTGCCATACAGTAGGCTACACAGAAAAAGGAAACTGTGCAATGCAATAAAGGTAGGCTTGGAGATAATCCATTTAATATTTTATCTCTTTTTGTATACTGATAAGTCAGTATATATGAGCATGTCAGTTCATAACATCAGGCCACACAATGTCTCGTGTCTCACACAGCAATTTGCACTGTCGAACCTGAAATCCACGTTTGATTTTCTGAGATCTATCATCCAGGACCAGACGCGTTTGGCACCTGGAAAATTGTGTTTTCTGACTGTGGTTTATGCAATAAACCAGAATCGTACATCCAGATCTCGTGCAGCAGGTCTTCCGAATAGACAGTGACAAACAGATGCAACTTGAACGTCTTGAAGCACATCACCGCCGCCAAGAACCAGTAGTAAAGAGCGTAGAACTGCTGCACAAATCTGCAGGACTAGCTTTTTAAATGCTAAGACAGAAAAGCAAAGTAGAAGTCGAACCAGTAAAAGCAACACTTGCGGCGTTCATGGAGATGGAGATGGCTCGCTCGCTACGTTCCAGCCTTTGTATCAACGTTAGTGTTACACGACCACTTACCGTTTGCAGCTGGATGCTATTGATATGTGTATCAAACACAACACATTCACGCAAACCAACGAGATGAATGAGAGCAGGATGCGATAGAGCTCGCGCTGTACCAGCAGCATCGAAACACGTTTCGGCTACTGCAGAACAATAATCAGCTGCGGTTTCTACTCACATGTTTGGCAATGATTGCAATTCGAGACGAGACAGATGAAGGATGCGAACAGCAGTCCACGGCGGATGCTACACCATCGGACTTGGCGGTCGGCGTGGTGGTCGTTTTGATGCTTATTCTAGTGGTTAGACTAAGAAAATAGAACTGCGTGAAAATATAACAATAAAGGCAATTGTTTTCCCCCCCCGTAACGCCCCCTTGCTGCGGCACGGGCCTCTCTTTGACATTTCCCGACCACCAGGGTGAGAGTTCAGGCAGACAACGAGGGCTGCTGGAGCGACAAGAAGGTAGAATATGCTGGAGGACCAGAAGATGTGTTTGAGCATCACACGATGACGTGTTGGCAGCAGCTCTATTTAAATCCACCTTGCTGTCATTTAAGACAGACAAATCCAATTCTTATTGGTTTATTCATTCAGCATTGTGTCAAACAGGTGTTTTTCGATTAGAGAAATGGTTCAAACTTTCATTTCTGAATGGTTTGTAACTGTCCAATATTCATTACTTAGTTTATAGTCAGCTGTCCGATAGTTTATTGAAGAAGAATACAAATTTAGCTACAGGGAAAGAAAATCTATATATACACAAAAGATGCATTTTTATTCAAAAGCTTGAGTGTCTGAACTTTTTCAAAAAATATATCAGATTCTCAGATCTTTTGTGTTAACTTAATCATTATTTTCAGAAATGTTTTCTAAAATAATAAAACATTGAAGATATATATATATATATATTTACAAATATTCTTATATTTTTGAACAAGTACTTGGGATTTTTTTATTTGAACAGAAAGGTCTTTTCAGAAAGTAATTTCTGACTTTTTTTATTATTATTATTATTATTATTTTTAGAAAGCAGGCCCGGAAATGCCTGTCAATCTTATGGTTTATACTTTTCAACCTCAGATCATTTATAAAAAAAAAAAAAAGCACTACCATGTTACATGTTGGAGCGCTGCCCACACGGCTAAATGCTGTAAACAAAAAAAATATATTGCTCATTATTACTTGGATGCTAGCTAATGCATTAAATAATTTTAACAAATTATACCTTAGTGTTACCGAAATGTGGTATGCTACACTTTGATTTTCATCTAGCTCATTTTATACTGAATCTACAAAATCCACAGATGATTGCCACAGACATTGCTTTAATCGTAAAAATCAGTGCTTTCGTCAGAGTAGATGTAATGACAAAGAGAGAGAACATCTTCAACAGTCTCACAAGAGTCCAGGCGAGGCTTTGAATGTGGAGGCTCAAAGAGCTCAAAATCGTCATGCATCTCAAAACGTTCGGCAGCAGCAGGAGAGAACTCATTGCCAGAGTAAATAGCCCTTTTTCTCTTTCTTGAGCCTGTGAAATAAGACAGAAGTTCCTCCGAATCAGTGGCTGCTGCTTCCATGACGCCAGGGCTGAGAGACAGCTCGTACTTGTCCTCTCCCTGCTCTGTGATGGCAGCAATCTCAGTCTGTCCATAGTATTCATCAACAGAGAGGCCTACTATGTCAAAAATATCCTCATTTGCATGATGGGAAGGTGTCGAGAAATTCGAATTCTCAAGAAGGTCCGTTGTATCATATGGCACGAAGGAGGATGGATTCTTTATGTTGCTGCTGTCATCAGCTCTGTTTGTCCCATCCACATCAATGCCAAGATTCTTCACCCTATCCTTTAAGCTGGCAGGCCAGAAGGCTGGTGGAAGGTTGTAAACACCCAACAATTTCATTGGACCAAGCTCCTTAAGATTTGGAGGATCCCAGATCAAATCTAAACATAAAAACATAACCAAATATCTCTATCACCTCTATACTGATAAACTGCAACATTGGTGTGATATTAATGTTATAGGAAATTACTTTCAGGTCTGATAACACCACAATGGGTCTCAATCGCATCAGATCTTGGAAGGGCGGTAGATTCCACCTCATCTCTGTAATCCTGCAGTGAGGGAGGAGGTGGAGATGGAGGTGCCATGAAGTCATTTTGGGTCGTGGGGGGTCCTTAAAAATTACACAATGTAATTTAATGTAACAAGCAAAAATATTTCAATCAGATTTAACTGATGTTGTATGAAGAAATATTATTAAAAAATATCATAATCATAATTCATATACAATTTATTGCACAGCATTTTGGATGAATGAAAATGATTATTTTTCATCAAAAATAGCTAGTTTAAAGGTTATGCTCGATAATTTGTTTGGTTTAAATCAACCACTTTAAGTGTTGTTAGGCATGTTCTCTTACCATTATTCAGGCATATTTGAGGTGGTGGAATGTAAGAAGACTGGGAACAGTCGTAGGAATTCATTGAAAAGTAGATAGTCTCAAAAATTGCTCTCTTAAGTCAAATGTGTTCAACTGAGATTGTTTGTTAGCAGCAAAATAAGACCTCAGTACTTTCACCTGCTGTTAGTATGTTTAAAAGAAGCATTCCTAACAATTCCCTTTATGATGTCATAGTGGCTTTATTGTAATTCCTGCAGTGGCAGGAGATGGAATGATGTACAGTTAAATACAACCAAAGAAAATGCAGTTGTACCAGATATATAAACAATAAAAGGAATACATTTTTGCAGCCATCACTGCCAAAAATTAACCCCTTTACTGACACCCCCTTTTTTGCATAGACATGAAAATGCACTATCCAAACTTAAATGGTTGTAATTCAAGAATGCTTTGGAATATAGACCTAAGGTTGGTCTTGTTTTAAAGAAGACAATTGTAGAAGTGAAAGTTAATGAAATTATGAAAGTGAAATAGAAAATACGTTTTAGAAGTTTGTTTAAGCCTATGAACATGTAAAAATATATATATATTTTTTTTTAATATGAAATATTTATTTTACAAAACATGTTTTACTCTAAAACTGCAAGAAAATCAAAGCAAAAAAAATCTGAACAAGTTGTGTTCCAAATGTTAGGTTGATATCTCAAAAAGTTAGCTTTCAGTAAGATTTTATTTGGGCGCAGTAGGCTACCAAACTTTTCACTATGACGTCCAAGCTACTGCGCCGCGTTGATCTTCTTGAACACACTAGTAGTGGGAAGTTCGGATCATTTTACTGACTCGGATCTTTGAGTCTCGTTCAGCAAAATGAACGAATCTTTTTTCGAGTCATTTCGTTCATTTCAGCATAATATAATTAAAATGGCATGTTAAATATCCCAACACATCTAGAACTTACGAAAATGTTGATTACATTTGTAAAAAGAATAAAAATAAATTATAGGGTAATGCAGCCAAAGCCAAATTATAAGAAACCGAAATTTTTACGAATTGATTAGTTGTTGGGTTTTAAGTTCAGGCTATTGCAGTCTGATTCTGTTAGTTCACCTCACCTCCTCATCCGAGACGTTCTTTCCTTTGCAACTTCATATTTATCAGGTTTGTTCTCCTCCTCTTGTGTCTCGAGACGTTAGTTGTCGACTCGTCAGTGTCTGACTCTGATCTGTCTGCTGGGCCGTGCCGTGTGTGATACAGCAGGGCCGGAAAGAGTAATGATTAGTTCATCTTCGAGTCTCGAGTTCGGGTTCGGCCGGGTCCGAGTCTTTCGTTCTTCCTGTCAGTCCCATAGAGGCTATGCTGTCAGTACCGGAAAGAGTAATGATTAGTTCATTTTCTTCGAGTCTTCGGGTTTGAGTCCTTCGTTCTTTTGTCACGTGACCGCTGGTATCTCGCATCAAATACAATATTAGATTCGTATTATTGACTGCGTCTGAATGTATATTGTTTTATATTTAGGAATTAAAATACAAAATATGTGAAATAAACATTATCTGAAAAATAAAAGTTCCATCTTATTATTGTCCCTGTCCGTTTCTTTAAATGTTTCTTGTGCATCTGTGGTGTGTTTTATTATATATTATACATTAATTAACTACTATTATATTATACATTAACTACGTGCTTGTTTGTAAAAAGGTTGTGAATTAGTAGGCTATTCAATACGGTGACAAGTCACGTGACAAAAGAACGAAGGACTCAAACCCGAAGACTCAGAAGATGAACTAATCATTACTCTTTCCGGTACTGACAGCATAGCCTCTATGGGACTGACAGGAAGAACGAAAGACTCGGACCCGGCCGAACCCGAACTCGAGACTCGAAAGATGAACTAATCATTACTTTTTCCGGTACTGACAGCATAGCCTCTATGGGACTGACAGGAAGAACGAAAGACTCGGACCCGTCCCGAACCCGAACTCGAGAGAGATGAACTAATCATTTCCAGTACAGATTCAGAAACCATATGTTGCGCAATGCGCATGCGCGATCAACACAAAATGAACGAATCACTCTCTGAGACAACTCGGTAGTCCCGAGTCATATTAAAGATTCGTTCAAAATGAACGAATCGTTCATGAACGACACATCACTAGAACACACCACTCTGCTGAGGGATCGTTTCACAACACGAGGGAGCGGCAGATATTTACATGACTCTCTCTAGTGGCCAACATTTAAGTAGCATTGTTTCGACACAAGAGCAGCAGTAGTCCTTCTTGCACGCCCACTGTGTTACACAAAGTTTATGATTTCAAGATCATTCCGGTCATAGAAGGCCATCGAGACTTCTCTCGTCCTCGCATAACATCGAGCAGCTCTTCGACCTGTCAGGTAAAAACAACAGCGCTGTAGTTACAACCATGAGTACAACACGCAAACTCTTGATTCGGCGTTTATGTAAACAAATTTCCAACATCTGTAGCGCGCGTTAAATATTGTTCTGCGTGACATTTCGCGACAAAGCCACATGCTGTTTGCACGAAAGGAAGAATACTGTCTAATATTCGGCACAGTTTTAGTAGTCATAGGGTACGTGCGTGGAGTCTCTCACATAGCAGGACAAACTGAACTGGCATGAACCAAATTTCTATTATGTTTGATTCTATTATTCCATTGTTGGAAGTTCATTCAAATTAGCTTTTTAAACAAAATATTGATTATTTTGTTCGCCTATTTATTAAGAAAAAATGTGACAACTTTCGCCAAACAGGCATTTATTTAGAACGCAGTTCATATTTACGTTTAAAATATGTTTATTATTTGTATTCATTTATTTGGTAGCATTTTACAGTTCTGTTCCCCGTGTACACACTATGTATTTATTTTAGCCATTGTAATAACTGGATAATAACTAGGTACTCACCCTGAGCTCACCCTTAAATCTAACCTTAACCCATGTAGTTACCTTATATTACCCAGTACTTGTAAGTACCCTACACTGTAGGCTAGCCTAAGTGCACGTACTGTAAAATAAAGTGCAACCAATTGTTTGTGTGTTTACATGTTTACCCAATAGCTATAGCAAAATAGGATTATATTTGAATGTTTCATTTATTTTACTTCTTTTTATAGGCCTATATATTAATTACTACATATTATTATATTATTATTATTTTTTGCATCAAGCTAATGTTGTATGATTGCATTTGTTGAAGGCTGATGTCCTTATTTTACTACTAATGAGCCCTAAGCTACTGTTGGCCTCCTTGACTCACATGCTGTGGAGATAAGCTGTCAGACGTGTTAAACAGACAAGGAGGTGCAGAGCAATTAGACTAAAACAATGTGTATGTACATAGGCAATGCTTAGGGATCTTAATTTGCCAGTTTGCATTGAAAGGATGTGGATTCCTATGCTGAGTTTGACTGCCCTGCCACACGTTGGTGGGATATTTGGAGGTCTCATCACACGGAAGGAGGTGAAGACCTGGTACACCACGCTCAATAAACCCTCATGGAGGCCACCTAATGCTGCCTTTCCAGTGGTGTGGACCACTCTCTACACTGGCATGGGGTAAGTTCAAACAGTGGCCACTAACTGTTTCTGTCAGTTATGCATTTAAAAGCTTTGAAGGAAGTTGAAGTTAAGTTTAAAAGTTAATAAGTAACTAAAGAAACCTCCAGATGGTGTGAATAAGTTTATTTATTTATTTTAAGCTACGGTTCATACCTTGTGTGGAAAGAGCTTGGAGGCTTCAGCCAGGATGCAATGGTGCCACTGGGGCTCTATGGGTTGCAGCTGGCACTTAATTGGGCCTGGACTCCCATCTTCTTCGGAGCACACAAAATTAAACTGGTGAGACATTACTCTGAGGTTCAAAAATCATATTGTTCAGTTTAACTACTTTAAAGGGAAACCAGGACCAGTTTCTCTGCATATAGCTATGAGATAGTATCAGATTTTTGTGAAGACATGCTTGACTGAATCTCTATAGTACAGTTCTTCTGTTGCTCTTTCATATCTAGGCAATGATAGAGATAGTGATGCTGAGTGGCACAGTGGCAGCCACAATGGTGTCTTGGTATCCCATCAGCCGCACTGCAACACTGCTCATGGTACCATACATGGCTTGGCTCTGCCTAGCTACCTGCCTCAACTACTGCATTTGGAGAGACAATCCAGATCCCAAAAAAGACGACTAAAGAGGCCAATAAAAACTAACACCTTTCTAACTAACACAACTGACTAGAAAACTACTTTATTTTGCTTGTTGGCCATTTGAAGTTACTATTTAATTATGAAAGATTTTTTTTTAAACTTTACTTACAAGTTTATAATATCAGAAAATTCACCATGTCTTAATTATAAGAGCAGGAAAGGCTATAAAATGAGAATGTTCTAATGCTTCCATAATTTTTTTCACTTAAGCTCAGCATTTTACACAGATCAGTTTATAGGTTCTTCCAACTTAAAATGTTTAATTAAAATAAATAAATGTTTGTTTGTCTTCTTGCCTATTTTTATGAATAAAAAATTATTTTAACGACTCCGTTTCTTGAAAGGAAACTCAGTTACAACATAGATTTTATTTCAAACACCAAGGTCTGGTCACAGGGTGGTGGTCAGGCAGGGTAGGTTTTTATCATCTATCTTTTATGAACATATTTTCCCATGGCGTGGGCCATTTTATCACTATCTGCCAGAAAATTCCCCAGTGTGCACTCCGCTTTGATAGTTCACTTGTCTATGCAACTATTAGTAAACTGCTGCCATTTCATCCTAATCCTAAATTACAAATTGCACAAAATTTCTTCACAATTTACAAATTCACAATAAATTATGCTGGATTGTTAAAATGGAAATTAAAGACATTACTGTTTTACTTTAGACTTTAAGGAATAAATATATAACCCCAAATTATGTTAAGAGAAGTAATGAAGACAAAAGTCTGATTTTCTTTTCTTTTTTTTGTAATTTGAATAAAGATTCTTTTGAGGGAACCTACCTTAACACCCCATAACTACATATGCAAAACAGAGGATTCAACCATCTAGAAAAAAAATACATAGTCTTAAAGGGTTAGTTCACCCAAAAATGAAAATTATGTCATTAATGACTCACCCTCATGTCGTCCCAAGTCCGTAAGACCTCCGTTCATCTTCAGAACACAGTTTAAGATATTTTGATTTAGTAGTAAGTCGTAGTTTTTGTTATTTTTGGACCAAAATGTATTTTCGATGCTTCAAAACATTCTAAGTAACTAACCCACTGATGTCACATGGACTACTTTGATGATGTCTTTATTTCCTTTCTGGACAAGGACAGTATACCGTACATACATTTTCAATGGAGGGACAGAAAGCTCTCTGACTAAATCTAAAATATCTTAAACTGTGTTCCGAAGATGAACGGAGGTCTTACGGACTTGGGACGACATGAGGGTGAGTCATTAATGACATAATTTTCATTTTTGGGTGAACTAACCCTGTAAGTTTAAGTTAAATTTTAAAGAATGTACATAATTTAGCATGGCTTTTTATCCAGTGGAATCATAAAACATACTGGGTTGTTTACGGTAAATACAAAAAATATTTATTTGCATTATGGATTCAAGAGAAATAATATGCAAGTAATAATCTATGAAACTGAATGTTATTTTTCCTGAATTATCACATTTCTCTAACTTTAATAAAGCTCTCCGAATGAAACCATCCGTCCGTTTACTTCTTGGAAGTTTCTGTTCAACCATCAAGAGAGCTACAGTTGTTAGAAGTGAAGATTTAAATACACTCCTTAATTGTTTTATTTGAAAAAGTGCAAAGAGGGATAAGATCTGTACAGTATGATGATTATTTTTCAGTTTTTTCAGGGGGTCCATCTTCAGGTTTAGAGGAGAAGCGCTCCGTTAGTGTCTTCCACAATCCCTTCTTTACCTCATCTGCTTGCTGCATGTTTCCTGCAAAAAACAAAAAGACAAAATAAACCAGCTAGTAATACAAATGACCTTTCACATTCTAGTACACATAAAAATGACAGCTAATGAACCATTACTTTGACATGAAATGTAAAGGTGATCTAAACAAACGGCTCTTATAGTGAAAATTCACAATACAATGCAACAATAACAAAATGTTTCCTCCCTAATTAAAAAAATATATATACTACATTGTTGTCTCTTCACTAGATTATGAGATGCATGCTACATGACACTGAATGTCACTACAGACTAGTACTTTACATTTAAGATTTAAACAAATCTTTATATACACTACTCAAAAGTTTGGGGTCAGTAAGATTTATTTGTTATTTTTATTAAAACATTCGATATGGACACACTAAATTCATCAAAAGTGACAGTAAAGATTTTTACATTGACTTTCTAAAGAATCCTGAAAATTGTTTACATCACTGTTTCCACAAACACACCGGTATTACGAAGCACTGTTTTGAAGAATATTTCTTGAGCAGCAAATTAGCATATTAGAATGATTTCTGAAGGATCATGTGACAGGATCAGAAAAATCAACTTTACCATCACAGGATTAAGTTTTAATCCTCACCTGTTGCCAATAGTATTCGGCACTCTTCCACTGTCACACCTGTAAAACTTGTATCTTTTGCTCGTGGAAACTGAAAACAAACAGACAAAAATATTATGATGTTGTCAAACTAAGGTTTGTGTCAATCAAATCAACTAAATGAAAGACGTTCTACAAAAAATGCGAGGAAAGATGTTGTGACAATACATATTCCAGTCTCCACAGAATATGCGAGCTATGAAGATTGTAAAGATACAAAAAAAATACAACATTTCTAAAGAAGACAGGCCAGTTTAAGTAAAACTGATTATATAAAAATAAACTTAGATCTAAAAAATCTTTTAAGAAATTCCACTCACCTTTTCTTTGTACACATTACTGTTGATGCGAGCCAGACTTTCATACAGCTGATCACATTTCTCTGGGTCTGAAATCTAAATTGAGACATAAGACAACATAGGCAATGTTGCATAAGATATTTGTATTGTTGCTTAAAAAGTATTTTTACAAGAAAAAAAAACATACACCAAGCTAGAGAAAATAAACCTTCAAGTACATGTTACAAAAAGAACTCCTCTAACATATCCTAATAACATGTTAGCGACTGTCTGTTGAACGCGTGAACTGCGCATAATATGAAAGATGACATTTGACTTGTCTTGCAACTGGCAAGGTCTGCAGCAAGGGTAAATCGTGCAGTAAGTTAACGTTAAGTTAATTCACTTAGTAAATCGCCTACCTGTGTATTTTCGCCTTCTCGGAAAGCACTAGCGACTCTTTGGCGTAAAAATGTTCCTAAATCTCGCCCTTTCTTTGATTCGTCCTTTGGCCATTCCTCGCATAGCTTTAGAAATCGACGGTATCTGGTGGCAGACATGTTTAACGTACAGGAATTGTAGGTGGTGTTTCACAACTGCACTGTGCTGAAAACTGTAAGCCGTGGAGGGTCAAATAATACGGCGTTTCAAAATTGATCCCTTATAGAACGAATTGCCCGTCTCTAAATACGGCTTGTCCCAGTTGAGGTTCCGTAGTGCCATACTGTTAACCTCGTGGTTTGCCGTAGAAATCTCAAGGTAATTTCAAAGACCCTTTGCTCGGCTAATACTAAAATAATCATTTAGTACCTAATAAAATGAGCGGAAAGAAAGTCGATGGGAAATCGGGTAGCGTCATGGGCTGGATAAGCACAGCTTGCCATTTTGCAGCGGACAGAAATGACTTTAGAAGGTTTGTTACCGTTGTAAATGATCTGACACAAACAGGAACGTTAACGTTACTGCTGCGTTCAACTCCTATACCCGAAGTGATGTTCAAATGTATTCTTTTAAATATCCTGCCAGCATCTGTGGTGATCCCATTTGTTTTATTGTTACAGGAATCTCCTTGTAAACCTGGGTTTATTTGCTGCGGGTGTTTGGGTCGCAAGAAACCTCTCAGATTTCGACCTAATGTCTCCTCAGCCAATTACGTAGCTCCCGATCAACAACGACAAAAAGGACTTACAGGTGAAACAGCAAAAAACAACTTGGCATTGTTCACCCCCACCCTTCAAAAACATATCCGAAACTTAACTCCTTTATTTTCTCTTCTCAAAATAGGTGGTGCTGAAATGGAAGAACAGAAACATTTTCTACAGTGGGTCTTGTTGAACAAGCCCATTCGACACTTAAGGGAACAAATCCCAGCAACTGGATAATTACAATTGAAGATTTCTTGTGTATTTTGTGTTTTGTTGAAATAAAGCTCACGTTGAACAGTTGCCTACAGCAGTTTATTCATGAATACATAAAATATACATAGTATTGGAACAATATTCTAGAAAATAAAAAATTCCATTAAAATTTATATTTTAAAGCACTTTACAATGCATAGTTTGATACCCTTTCACGTAGCATTTCCACACTTGCTATCCCTTATTTTGAAGACAAAACTTTGATCCAGGTCTCTTTTTCTGACCTGAGGAGAGACAAGTATTACTGTTTTAAATATTACCTTACACAAGAATTGAGATTTTTCAAACCAAAATGTTCTCAAAATAAACAGTGCTTAAGATAATAAATACAGGGGTTGGACAATGAAACTGTTGGAGGTTTCACGTCTATATCTTCACTGATTTTACATTCTACCAGTAAGAACAGAGTGTGAATTAGCTGAGCAATAGCACAGCTGTAAATAAAATAGCAATCCACACAACATAATGGGAGGCGTATAAGAGTTCAATAGTGGAATTCAAATTGCTGTGCATCTCACTGGCTCATCTGTGACCAGGACAGCAAGTCTTTGTAGTGCATTGAAAGCCATGGTATACAGGGTAATGTCAGCATACCACCACGTAGGACAAATCACATCCAACGGGAGTAGCTGTTGATGCAAGAGGAAGCTGTCTGAAAGGGATGTTTAGGTACTAACCTGGATCTAAATACTTTTTGAGCCACTTAGGAGTCAAATATTCTTATTCCAAAAATAATTTCCTTCACCAGCATCAAATAGTGACCTGGCCACTATTCTGGAAGAATGGCTCAAAATCCCTCTGGCCACTGTGAAGGACTTGTCTCTGGCATTCCCAAGACCAATTGAATTGAATTTTGTCTGCAAAAGGAGGCCCTACACAATATTAATACATTATTGTTGTCTAAAACCAGGTATTTCAGTTTCATTGTCCAACCCCCATACTTGTAGTCTTGGCAATGAATTATATATTGTATAGTGAAAGTTACCGTGTGTGTGCAGCCAATATGAGGGCGGTGGAAGACCTATTGTGGTTCTTGGGCAGATGGAGCAGGAGGGACTCAGCGGGTAGTCCCAAAATTGTTTTGATTTCCTCTACACGCACATTATCAGGAAATAGTGCATGGTCCTGCACAACAAACCTGTGTCCACTGAGTGGAGTGTAAAATAACAATAACATTGGATATCAAAACTTTAACATAAAACAACCTTACAAAAACATTTCACCAGATCATACCTTCTAACAGAGAGGAGCAAAAGATCATTGAAGAGATGAATGTATACATCTTTGCGAGAGACTACAGAGACTTTGTTATCGCCACCAACAATTAGTTGCTTCAAAGTTCCCTCTTGAATCAAATGACGCCCTCTGGTGATTAATGGAATGGACTGATTGAGAACAGAAGAAAACAGGTTTAAAAATATGACAGCAGAAAGAAAAAAAAGGAAGAAATTTTTTTTTACCTGTACATTAAGATTTTATACCTTGACATTTCCGAAATCCACTAACTTGTCCAAACAAACAAGCAGCTCTGTCCTCTTCATTTGTTCGACACTTCTGTCACACTCCTCCACTATCTACACAAACAGATTTATGAAATTACAAATGTATTAATTTATAAAGTATCAGATTAATTGCATCTGATTATGAAAGCTTGTTTCTGCCACGGAATAAAAAAGAAAAGAAAAAGGTAATTGTGACTTCTGTCTTTTTCTCACAATTGGATGATAAAAAAAAAAAATCACGACTAACTTTTTTCCCCTCGCAATTGCAAGAAAGAGCTTTTTTCTCAGAATTGTGAGAAAAAGTAGCAATTACATTTTTTTTTTATGTCGTGCCAGAAACAGGCTTCCATACAGTATCTAATACTGATCAATATGGATCAATTAATATCTAAGAAAAGATCCAAGATAATTTATATATAAAGATATCAGGGGCATTTATTATTTTGAAAGCAAAGCATGACAGCCTACCTTACGTACAGCTTCAATGGCTTCCATCAAATTAGAGACATTAAGATAAACACCTTTAGCTCGCTTGAGGATGTTCTAAACCAAAACACAAACAATTCATGTTCACAAAAAGATGAGACTCTGAAGAGCCAACACATCTCCCTGGCCTGTATAAAGGAAAGCCAACCTCAAGTAAGAGTGTCATCCGTGTGATCCTCTGAAAAGGAAGAATCAAGAAAGATTTGAGCGTCTGTCTCTGGCATTGTGGATCTTTCTCTAGTTTCTTCAGGATCAATGCAAATTTCCTGTTGCTCTGCCTGGTGGGAAGTATAAAATGGTAATTAGAACGCTACCATGCCAATGCTATAATATTAAATTGAATGATGTGTTCAGTATGGAATAAAAATGGAACAAACAGCAGCTGAGTGATGATGGCCTCCTGGTACATCATGTTGGTGATATACGGCACATAGACTTGTTGGAAGTCTTGCTGGTGATTCAAAACAATATCACCAACCCGTGACATCACCACATCCTGCCTGAGATGGGACTCCAGGTCCTGCAGAATCCTAAATAAACCCAAATAAAGTAATATTGCATTATGATTTATATATATACACACACAAAGCTGCATTTGTTCAAAAACACAGTAAAAAAAAAGAAATGGTAAAATATTTCCCCATTTTAAATATTTTAAAATGTAATTTACCCTGCACCCTGTGATGGCAAATCAGATTTTTCAGCAGCCATTATATTAGAAATACAGCAAAAACAATACTGTGAAATATTATTACAATTTAAAATTATATTTAAATATGAATATACACCATATAAAAATATAAAATAATTTTTATTTTAATAAAGTATATATATATATATATATATATATATATATATATATATATATTCCTGTGATTGTAAAGTTAAATTTTCAGCAGCCATGACGAAAGTCTTTAGTGTCCATGATCCTTCAGAAACTCAAGTAACATTTTTTATCATCATCAATGTTGAAAACAGTTATGCTGCTTAGTTTTGTGGAAACAGTGAGACATCTCTTTACATTCTTTGATTTTAGGATTCTTCATTGAATAGAAATCTTTTGTAACATTATAAAAATGTATTTACTGTCACTTTAAACCAATTTAATATAGCCTTTGCTGAATAAAAGAATAAAAAAAAACACTTTTAATGGTAGTGTATGTAAATCGTTAGATTAATATACTATTAAATAAACAAACATTTTCACATAATATTTGTAATTGTACTTTTTTTATCATTAGATGTATAGAAATTTATAGTTTGGCAATCAGTGAGATCAAGTGAAAGCAGCATAATGCATCTTTCATTTACATAATTGTATTGTGTTGTATTGTATTGTATATCCAAGCATGTATCCTTACCGTTCACTGACTCTGCAGACGTCCTTTAGGTTGGAGAACAGAACATGATGCTGCACACGGGAGAGGATCTGTTTGAGTTCTGCTGAGCACTGATACACATTCAGAGCTACCACCAGACTCTTCTGATACGAGGCCTCTGACACAATCAGCTCAAACATGGCCTAGCCCAAAATCACAAAAACAGAGGGATGAGTAGTGTAACTTTACAGTAGCCATCAGACCAAGGTCACATTTTGCAAGCATGTGGAGTCTTGTAGGTATCCTGCAATATACACCTCCTGAAGCTGGATCTCCTGCGCACTGAGGGACTTCAGCAGACACTCAACTTGCGGTAACTCCTGCCATAGAGCGTATGGCTTAGCATGTAGTCCTGGTGGACTCAACACAGAGGTTGGGCTTAAAGGAGGAGGAGTTTTCAGACCATGACGACGCACCGATGCCACCAATTCTGAAAGTCCTGTGTGCTGTGCTCTTTGTAAATCCTTCTTCACAGACTTCATCCAATACTCCTGATATAAAGGGACAGCTAGGAAAACAAAATTGGAACATATGAAAGCAATATTTGGTGCTACCATTTTGGTAAATAAATTCATATCATATTGTGTAATGAAAATAAAGATTTTTAGGACCATGTGTGTCTTTTGCTGTTTGGATGAAATGTGACCCAGCTACAGCATTTGGTTGACCGTTTTTGCAAGATTCATCAGTAAACTTACAACTGTTGATGTACTTGGATTTAAACTTGGCAACATACGTTTCCTCTTGTTGTGCATCGACTTCAGTTGCATCTGCCCTGAAACGAGAAGAATGCTTAAATGCTTAATTGCTTTGTTTCTGTGCAAAGGCTGATGTACGGACAGAAATGGACAGTTTGTTGAAATGGACACACTGGAAGCCTGAATTATAGTTTTGTGTTACCTTTTCACCTCATTGTCCTCCCAGTTCATGTCAGATGATTCCAGACTGGAGCTCTCCGAAGAAAAAAGGGATGAAATGGGCAGAGAAAACCCCATTAAGTTCCATAACTGTGAGGTTGCAACAGATCTAAGAGCTTCAGACAACCCTTGAGATGCACTAAGGAAAAGAGATCAAAATGAAAAAGAGGTAAAAATGAAACACCATCCTGGCACCATCTGAAGCTTTTAAAAAAAAATTATTGCGAGGTAGGCGGCTAATAGGAAATAAAACTACAGGTTAGGATATGAATAGTTATGATATTAGGCCATGTCAGAACAACAGAGTAACAAACGTACGTCAGAGTTAAAATGTATTTTAATTACATACGAGTAAAGCCCTACAGACGCTTCACAGTCCTCCACATTTATGTGTTGTTCATCCAGCCCGGGACGAGCATCTAGTGCTTCTGTTACATCATCTCTGTCGGCCCACATTCTCTCATTCTCCATGACATGAGCCATTTAAGGTAATGTTTCTCGCAGTTTTATGCGTAGTATTAAATTTGAATATAAACTTTGAATTATCGCAATAAAATACCTCTTTTACTCGCAGATACTCATACGCCACTGGAGTACTTTCCAAACCACTGGATTAAGATATGTCTGGGTCTAATTGACTCAGCGTCCTCACCTGTCCAATTTCCCACAACCAATTTTGCTGCGTTTGATTGGGCGTTGCTTTGGCGAAGGCTGAACCTAAAGAAACAATAAAGAAAATGTAATGCCGTGTCTCAGTGTCATGTCATCTTATGAAATAATGGGATCAAGATTATCATTATCATCTCATTACAATTAAATAGTGCAAATAAATAAAAACCTAATGTTCCTAAAAATATGCTTTATTTTCTGAATAAAATAGTTTTAATTAATATTCCTTCTCTAATATATATTATGGTTTTAAGGTCAAATTTAACCAAAACACTTCAATGTGAGAATCACCCTATTATTATAAAAGATGAATCAGTGACACGTTGTTAAATGTAAGCAGTTTATGCTAGTCTCATGCTTAGTCCGTATTTTTTTAAACACTTTTGACATGATTTCTGTCAAATAATAATTACACTTAAATCATACTAAAAAGCATAACTTCACGCTTGAAATAAGAATCACTTTCTCCTTTTATTTGGTTTTTAAACTGTATACAAGATGGAACTGAGTTTCTCAAATAGAATGAACACAACTGATATATGACCCAGAGATTACAAAAATGACAAGAGGGTAGACATGACAAAAGATCATAGACAGCTGGACAGAGCACATCAGGACTTTACACTAAAATCAAGTGTTTAGGGACAAGGGACAACAAATAAGAGAATAAAACAGACATCCCAACAAAATGTAGTGGTTGCTGCCCTGAGGGCATATTGGGGGGTAACTCTTCCTGTAGAACACTTTGTCAGCACCAACTTTGTCCTGTCAATTTCATTTTAATGGAAAACACAATATAAAACACTACCACAACATCATGAATTTGATAAAAAGAAATACTACTGATAATAGACTGACAATATTGTTCAAGGATGGACTATGAACGCAAAAGGTTATGGTATTTAAGTCTACTATATAATTTCCAAAGGCAACCTATAGAAAACATGTCAAGTTATACAGGATTGGCAACTATCAAATAAAATGGTTATTAAAGAGAAAACCTCAGCTTGAACATTATCGGCAATTCAAATTGGGAAAAGGACTCTAAAATTGGTGCTTTACCGGTTTACTATCTGTTCCGATCACATTTAAACAAAATTAATTTAGTAAGATGCTTCAGAAGATTCTGTGTAAGGTCAGTAAACATCAGGCACATAAATCAATTTTGAGATCTAAAACCATGCAGTTGTTGGAAGATAGGAAACAGGTCTATTTCTGACACATTCATTTCATTACAGAGCCCCACCACATAATGTAAACTATTCATATTCCTGTAAATTGTCTGACAGTTTATCAAATTTATTCAAACCAAACCAATAAAATCAACAATCCATTACGAACTATTGAGGCAACATGCAAAACTTAAAAAAGACTGCACAGACTTTATCGTTCTCTTGAAAGGGAAATATGGCCAGCTTCTCGCATATCTATTTTTAAACATTATGTATGGTGGCAAAGTAGAGAGCCAGAATAAGACCATCAAGTACAAGACAATGAGGACTGCTAAAGGAAAACCACAGGATGAAAAAGGCTCATATGTTGACTGACGGCATCCCTACAAAGTTGATTTAGAGTCTAAGTGGGCACAGTGATCTTTCTTGCAAGCAGCACCAATAAGGCAAGCTCCACGCTTCCTTGAGCCTGTTCCAGTGCCTCAGCGGCCTCACGAGCGGAGAACCCTGACGCCTGGATCCTCTGAATGTGCTCTAATGGAAACTGTCCCATCGAGGCCTGTGATGGAAGTTGGTTGGAGTCTCCAAGGAAAAGAGGATCTGCCGCAGTCGCTTGAGTTTGAGGGGATGGCCCTTGACTGGAATTGGTTGATATGCCAGCTGCAACAGAAAGGGGGCGTTGCTGAGACTGGTCAGCTGATATGTCAATGCCTGAGGGGTTTTCGTCCACAATGTCCTGCACTTGCTGGCCCTCAGGGAGCTCAAGATCTCCCTGGGAAGAAGCTGTCACCAGCCCAGAACCTTCCTCAATAACAAGGGCACAATTTCTTTCAGCTGCATAAGGGTGCTGAATAGTTTGTTCCACTATAGGATCTACCAGAGTAGAAGCTTGGTTCTCTGTGTGCCTTGGATTGCTCGGTACATCTAGAGTATCCCTCACTGATTGAGAAGTAAATTCAGCTTTGGCAACACTTCCCTTCTTGTCCTTTGTTGTGGCAGTATTAGAGGATGTGTCAATAGTTGGGTTCAGAGTGGCTCGGTTTCTTGCAGCATGATCCTGGTCCACCTCATCAACAGATTGTCTTGATGTTGTAGCATTAGGGTCAGACAGAGGATTCATTCCAGAAACTGTTGGCCAGCTGCTGGACATCAGAAGATTATGGAGCTCCTTAAGGGCTTGAGCCAAGGAAGGGATGTTATCTAACTCTGGCTGGTCTCTTTCACAGGGTATTACACTCTTTTCAGTGTCTGCATTGACAGAAGTAGTGGCTGGCTCAGCAGGACAGGGTTCAAGGCTCAAATCTGGAACAGGCATGCATTGTGGTTGGGCCCCTGAAACATCTTCAATCACACTACCTTGGTCTCTCTGGAACTGATCAGGAAAGTCATGGCCAGTTTCTGGTTTTGCATTGGAAGAAACATCCATGTCCATTTCCTGATCCAGTGTTAGAGTCTGAGAGCCTGGGTTAAAAAGAATAAAGGGAGATTCTGCTGCTACAGTCCCAGAGGAAGTGATATTCTTCCCCAAAACCGTGTCCATTGGACTGCCGGAATCTCCTGAAATGATGTCACCAGTCACTTTATTGTCCTCGGGCACAGTACTAGAGAATGGTTCCTGAGAGGGAAGAGTTCTTGGGATGGGAGCATCTGCATCCGTCTGCAAGCAAGAAGATGTTGAATCGGCCAGTCCTTGGGACTGAGATCTGAAGGTGTCATCAGAGGGATCTGGAGAGGGTTCACCAACTTTTAATGGCTGAAGTGGAGAGGATTCAATCGATGTGGGAATTTCAATTGGGGACGCTCCCTGGTTTATAGAGGCTGGGGCAGATTTGGAACAATCTAGGGTGAGACTGTGGGGATGACTTGAGGTTGACGATGTTGTGGGTTGGTTGAGAGGTTTAAATGGCAGGGATTGTGGTGAGGTAGTTTTTCCATCTTCAATATCTGAGAGAGATACAGTAACTGATGAACTTGAAAGTCTACATACAGTATAGGTGATATAAAACCAAGCAAATTCAACAAACACTGCAAACCATGCAAAAACAGTTAGCATCATAGACAGGCAAAGTTGAACTTATTTCAAGAAATTACTCACAAAATGAAGGCCGTTCCAAAGCGTACCAATGTATATATTGTGTCTAATATTTACTGGGTCAAATATTGTATTAGGCTAATGAAATATTCCCTTTGTGACTGTAGTACCTGGTAGGTAGAGCCCTCTCCAGCTGTCTGTCCATATGACATCAGTTCTGTCCTGCTCATAGTTAGGGCACACAAACGCCACACATTTCATGCAATAAGAGGCAAACAATTAGCAAAAACACATCCAGAAAAAAGGCGAGAAAAGAGGCATGCTCCTATCAATCACATAAGCTACACAAGGTGGCGTTCAACTCACATTATTCAAGGGTAATCTGTAAACATGAACTTCATCAACATGACCTATATGAACATGAATTACAGTATTTGCAGGTATAAACAGCACATTTTTAATGTTATCTAGTGACAATGTTAAAACTGAAGAATACATTCTGAAGAGCCAATGTCCTAACATGTTTTAAGTCATGTTTCCTCAGTATTCCTCAATATTGTGAAATATTACAATAAAAAAAAAAGTCTCATGTAATCCTTAAGAAATCATTCTAATTTGCTGATTTGATGATAAAGAAACATCCTCAATATTAAAAAACAGTTGTGCTATTTTTGTGGAAACTGATTTCTTATTGAATTATAGAATTCTTATAGAATTCTTAGATGAATAGAAAGTTCAACAGAACAGCTTGAATTTAATTAAATTGTCACTTTTGATAAATTGTCCTTGCTCAATCAAAAACTATTGATTTCTTTTTTCTTTTTTTTTAAATGAACACCACCTTGTGAACTCGGTGAGTGGTTCTGTATTGCAACCAAGATAAACAAACTATACAAAAATTGTTTTCTTAAATTCTTCTGATCCCTAAAGAAGGAAATCCCTTTTAATTCTACAATAAACCCCTGATGACTATTCATTCCTTGTGATAAAATCTAATGCTGCCTTCGTGTGTAATTGGAATTAAATACGGAGATTAAACAAGTTTCCTAGTCAAAAATTGGACATGAACTCAAGTCATATTTACCACTGGGACATCAAAATTATCAGGGATAATTTTGATACCCAAGTTCCCGAGCTGGGCGGGTCATAAACTTTAAACATGGCAATAACAATAAGATTTTCCAAATAAACAGGCAAGAATAAACCTGGCGTCCTCCATGATTCCTGTTCTTTCCGACAACAAAGCGTTTGAATGCGACAAGCTCGTAATCACGACTTGAGAAGTAGGAAATTTCTGATAGCACGTGAAGGCAGCATAAATCTAGCTTTTATTCCAACCCATTAGCCATGCAATCTCTTGGTCTACATATCATGCATCTCACCGCTGTCCTGCACAGATCTTTGTATTGCCTCTGCCAGTTCTCGATCTGCAATCTCCTCAGGCCGGGTATCCTCTCGTCCCTCTGGTCCATATGCCAGCCGGGCACACTCGGGCAGCTCTGCCTCAGGTAGAAAACGTGTCTCTGTACCCGTCGTCCCAATCAGGAGAACATTTTTCTTCAGATCTATGGAGCACTGGATGAGAGAAAATCAAGTTATAAGAAATAGAACAACGCTAAGTAGAAGAGAACAGGCATTGCAAGCTCAAGTAATGAAAACAAAAACTTCTACTGGTGATCTACTCTAAAACAGAACTTAACATAAATTATATTTAATATTAATATCATTGTTTACATAATATTATAGAAAGAAAAAAAATAGCTAACAAGCTATTCAGGCTATATTTGTAAGATTAAGTGAGATATAAAATATTTTCCTGAGTACACAGCCTGACAATAGCATGCAGACAAAGTAACCTCATTTGCTAAACTCTATGGGTCTCATTCATGAAACATTCGTAAATATACGAGTAAATATGCGAGTGATTTGCGCGTAAAGAGACCTTCCCGAAAACTCTTCTCCTGATTCACAAATACTTCGTAAACGTCAGATGTGATAGTGAAATGTGTGTGTGTGTTAATGAATTCCAATCAGTCGTAAATGGGATGCGCGTGCACGTTCATTCTCAATTACCATAAATCCCGCCCATTAAATCCGACTGACAACTATATATGGGCATCATATTATGACATGAATGCGAAAAAAAAAAAATTTCTCAGATGCAGAAATTGAAGTTTTATTATCAGAAGTTCATTCAAAACGCCACATTTTATTTTCAAGCGTACATAGTGGCGTATCGGGTCCTAAAAAAAAAGGAAGCTTGGCAGCATATTACAGATGCAGTTACTGGAGTTTCATCTGTTAATCGAACATTCCCAGAAGTGAGAAGAAAATGGTTCGACATTAAGCTTGAGAGCAAAAAACTAATTAGTTCACTTCGGAAAAATAGTATTCAAACTGGAGAAGGACCACCATCGCAGATGCTATTACTGGCTCTCATAATAAGAAAAACCGTATGTAATTACTATATATAATATTTTTTCAAAATGCTGTGCAAATATGTACCCGATTAAGGTGAATTAAAATGCAGCCTTATGAATGAGCAAAACGTTCGGGTGTTAAGCGCACTATTTACGCGTGGCTGGGAGCAGGTGTAGATTTCTTGTGTACCAACTAACATTTGGAAAATACGAACATTTTAATGAATCCGAAAATTTACGCCAGACCCACTTTACACACGATTTACACAAAAATTCGTTCTGCTCGTGTTTCATGAATGAGACCCTATGTGTCTAGGGAATATGGGAAAATCCTCATGTTAGTTTCATTCCATTAAAGCAACATTAATGGCAAGTTAAACAGATTCCATTACGGGAAATAGATCACTTTATTGGCTATGAATCAAAGTTCCCGAGCAGACCTGGTGTCTCTTCAGCATGTCAAGGCCTAACAGCATATCCATGGGCTGATCTTCCAAAATAGAGAAAGAGCAAGGCAGGAAATCTCCTTCGATCTGCACCTGGGCTGGGTGTAAAATATATATTTTGTATATTATAATAAGATTTAAGAGAAAGTGTTGGAGGATATGCATATTGCATATTAAAGGAGCAGGTCTAAATAAATGCCATACTTAAATGAACTCGGCCAATAATTTTTTGAGTGCCAACCCCTTTGGCAATGCCTGCCCAGCGTCTGTCCACTAGACGCATGATATTACATCGCTCTGCACATGCTTGGCTCATAATCGTCATCTGAGCTCCTAAAGAAGGATTATAAAACATTAGCACATAATATAAAGACACCTCAAATGTTAAAAGGATTCCCCAAACAAGTATATGAATGAAGCGTATGACTGAATATAGGATGCTAAATTAAGTAAAAACTATAGATTGATGATGTTTAGTAAGACATTACCTTAAGCAAAATATAATAATGCATTCAACAATATCCTTGAAAAGATATATTAAAATACGATTGACTACCTGAGTCAACAAAGGCCTTTACTGGGTGTCCATTGACTTTGCAGTTGATGTATAGCATGACCACCTGGCCAAAACTCTCAGGTGCTTCTTCCATTGCAATGGTCATATTCTCCTCAATGTTGTGCTGTCTGGAAATGTAAAATAATGTCATGCATTCTTTTATTTAATTTTTTTTTATGATCCATGTGCCATAGACCATGTTTTTGCTGTGCATATAACCTCACCCCTTATGTGTTACCTGATTTCTTCCTCAATCTTGGCCTGAGCATCCAAGTCAAAAGGATCTGCAATCAGCAGTTTGATTCTCTCCTGCTCTCTCCGTGCTCGGTCCTGCTGCTGCTCCACTAGCACCTTGGTGAAGCGCTCTGAAAAAGGGAAGAATAATTATTCTGTCACTCTGGGAAAAAAAAACATTCAATCATCGATTTAGGTCACATCATCTTTATTTACCAAGGTCTCCACTCAGTAGAGCCTCAGCAAGTGGAGGGTTTCGCTCTTTCAGCAACGAAAGCTCATGTGGATTTGCCAGCAACATGTCACGTAGCAAGGCGGGGTTGTCCAATCCCTGGGGAGAAAGGGCTGAGCCTGAGCCTGAGCCTGATCCTGCACCTGAGCCTGATCCTGGAGTGGTGGCTTGGGGCGGCCTTGATTGGGTGGCACTGGGGCGCTGGGGATGGTGCTGTCTGTTTTGGCCTGAGGACGTCCCAGGAACAGCAATGGAACTGAAATCGATCCGAGGCAGACCTAAGACATTAAGATTAATTATGAGTAATGTCATGATAAGCTCACATAAAGCCATTAAAAAGCAGATCTAGTTATGCTGGTTTACCTGGAACTGAGGGTTGTTGTCCTAGTAACCTCTCTGCTTGTCTTAACACTAGCACATCTCCATCCTTCAGCCCATAGTTCCCTAGGGCTCGGGTGGGATCTTGTAACGGCTGCTCTGCGTATGAGATCTAGAGAGCAAAGGTTGCGTAATTTTATCCAATATGTTAAAACACAGCACATCCTCTTTTTGTCAAATAACCTATTAAATCACTTTACATTTCAAAACAATTCTTAAAAATACCAAACTCACAGAAATAAATGCCTTAGTTTTTAAAGTTGTTTGTTTCAGTTTCAGTTCATGCACCATTTAATGTGAGTACAGGCAAAGTTTCCCTTTCAATTTTCAAAACGAAAGATTTATCTGCTACCCCATGTTACCCAACACCCATGTCAAATAAAGACTCGTCCGTGTTATGTGTTTTAACAGCACACAATTCTGTGTATTATGGTTTCCTGACAAGTTTAATCTTTACCGACCAAAATACGTTTTCAGCTTCAATTCAGCTTTGCTAAATGCTCGTCATTAGCGCAACTATGATCTGTTAATCTTTCCAGATTTGTTTTTTTTTCTGGAAGTGTTGACATAGGCTCAGTATGCTATTAATAGCATGGACCTATGGCACTAATTTGTTTAGTCAGGTCGCTTAGCATAGTAGCTAACTAACTGTTGCAACACTTTTGGAAGATGTTTACCTGAATCTCCCCGGCTGGTATTCCTGATTCAAGTTCGCAAAGAGCCAAAAAATCCCTGAGTTCAAGCTCCGGGGACACTTCCAGGGCGAAAGTGGTTTCCGAGCGGTCTCTCGGTGCACAAAACACGGTGAGCAGCATTGCGCTCGGGGTCAAACCCGGTTACTGCTTCTCTCTCGCTGTCAGAAACTGCCGTTATTTCTGGGTTTTGCTACAGGAAACGTGACGACGTCTGTCCTGTTAAAACGTTGTGTAAAATCTGGTTATGAAAAAGTTAAGCATATGGAGAAACATCTGAACAAGCCAACACAATTCGCTCATAAAGAATTCGTTCACTTCCTTTTCACACAGCTCTCTAGCCACTGCCGTAAAACGATTACGTGTGTCGTAGCTTACTGAGACAGGAAGTCAGAAACAACCACTGTCAATGGAAACAACATACATCAAAACAATGCATTTTGATATGATAAATTAATAGAATATTTGAATGAATGAATAAATACATTTAATTCAATTTATCAAATTAAATAAACTAATACCATTAATTAAAGCGAATAACCGAATATAAATAAAGCAAAAATAAATAAAATACATGTAATTCAATTGTAGTGTACACACTACACAGATACTAGTTTGTCCAATGTGTCCTCAGACTTTTATACCAGTGTTACATGCATGCATATTTATTTAGACTTTTATATTTCGAGATCCGATTTAGCAACTGTACTAATAAGTTAATAACACATAAAGTACTTTAATATCCCTACAAAATATTTTAGTAAGCAAGTGTACCACAAACCCCGTACTGTAGAGGGCGCTACGGCACAACTTAATTGGATATAGATCATAGTTTTCACAGCAGTTTTAATTAATATTAGAGAATTAAATTAACAGTTTTTATAATTATGAGGAATGACAGTCAAATGTAAAGGTAAGGGTACTTTAAGGATAAAACTGTGACACTGACATACTGCTGTATTGGCAGTATTGCCCTTACAAATAGTGTGTTCCTGGGAAAAAAGCTTTTAAAAACAAAGAAACTAATATCTAAATCACTAATCTAAAAGGAAATTTGACCACGTGAGCCTCTTTGTGAAAAAGATCATATACATTTTTCCACTATTTAAAAAAAAAAAATTATTATACACGTATGATTTTTTTTTGTTCTTATGTTTTTATAACATTACTATAAAGGTGACTAAATATGACTGTAAATATAAATCACAATCCAAGTCAGTTTATTCACCATCAAAATGTTTATTAGACCCTGTTAAGTGTCTCATCCTAAGACAGAGTCATGTACTGAATTTGATCATGTGGTCTCTTAATGAGTGGATCTTATAAAAACACCTTAAATGCAACAATATACACACTAAAATACACAAACTGATGACACTATTAGAGCTAAGATAGCTATGTTTCTGTACCAGATATACAAATTTCCTAATTAAAACACAATATATTCATTTAACACTTACAAAGCACATATTCAACATGTTCTGGTCAATCCTTTGTGCAAACAATTAATACACACACACACACTCACGGAACAGACACAGATCATTGCAGAAATTCACAAGGTAATTATGAATATAGCATGCACATATTGATTTAAACAATACTTGTATATAATCTCTGACCTATTTTGTTTCTGTACACTTCTTTAAATTGCTCTTCACCCAAACAGAACAACACACTCCCTGCATTCAACCGTCAACTTTGTACTAACCCAGTTAGTACTAACCCAAGTTATTTTTAGACATCCTAAATTTGTAAGGACAGGTTAAAAATTGCATTTAGATTGAAATGTATATTAGGTTATAAAAAGGCTCCATTAGAAGCTCACTGACAGCCTGTCTTGTCTTACAAGGTTAGAGTTCAGATCTTTTAAAGGAAGAGTTGGGAGAGTGCTCATGGTTGGTTTGGTTAGAGCAATAAACTGGCTCAATACTGTGATCACATGAACATAACAGATTTTTTTGACCCCATTATAAATGGGTCACTTTTGTAAAAGATGCTCCATTTTTGGATTAATGAATGAGAAGCCAGCAAAAGCGCTCTGGTCCATGGAATCGATCAGGCCTTTCTCGCAGTGTGAGAGACGAGGTTTCTCACTCAAAAACTCCCGGTCGAAGTTACTGCAGTCATTTGGAGCTTTCTGCAATTAGACAAGACCAGAAAAAAATTTGGCAAACACAGAAAGACAAAAAAGAAGAAACAGATATGGGAGGAAAAACATACCACTTTTGGTTTGAAGGGGGGCTCAACTTCTTTACTTTCTAGAGCAGGCCAGTTGACAGTCTTGAAAAATTGGTGGCCTCGTATATTACCCACAATCCCTAAACGGCTTGACGGATTGCGGTCAAACAGCTGTGTGCAGGCGTAACAAAAAAGATAAAGTGTAATTGCAGAAATTTGATTTGTGTTGTTTTTAATTGAGTATATGTGCATGTATACCCTTTCTAGCATCTCTCTAGTATCCGCTGTGATCCAACGGGGATAATGAGGTGTGTCCATTCGGATCGATTCAAACAGCTCGTCCTCGTCGTCACCGTGGAATGGAGATTGACCAATCAACATCTCATACACGAGCACGCCAAATGACCACCAGTCTACTGAGAATGAGTACTGATGACCCAGCAGAATCTGTGATTTACCACACACAAACACATCAAGTCAGGACCAGGACATTGTTGGTCTGAGAGTGAACCAACATCAAAGTGCATTTTATACCTCAGGAGCGATATAATCTGGAGTTCCACAAAAGGTAGTGGCTCGATTGTCCCCAAACACGTTTTCCTTACACATTCCAAAATCAGCTATTTTTATGTGACCGTCTCCATCTAACATCACATTATCCAGCTTGAGATCCCTGACAAAAGGTAAAAAAATTATCACTGAAAACGGCCCTGTGAATGGTTTCAGAGGTGAAATGGGGAAGTAATGTGTAATTAATACATCAACACAGTGGTGTAATTTTGTCTGTACCTGTAAATAATGCCTTTGGAATGGAGAAACTGCAGGCCACACACTATTTCAGCTGCATAGAACCTGGTAAGAGACATCAGATCAATACAATAACATGCTCACTAAATCAAGGGCTCACCAATATTTTATATTATAGAAACTATTGTTATTTTGTATGCATATACGCATGACATACGTGGTTCTGTACAGATCAAAACGCCCCTTTTCCTGTATATGAAACATCAGGTCTCCTCCATTCAGATACTCCATCACAAAGAATAAGTGCTCCTGTTAGAGATAAATAAAAATAAAATATTTATTGCTAACAATAAATTATTTGTGCATGACATTGTACATTTGTGCATGACATTTTACATTAACTTATTGTTTGGTACTGTCACTTTAAGATTTAGACACCCTGCAGACCTAGAGTAACTGTGGTTAGGTTTATAAATTGGGATTTGGTGACATCCTTAGATTTTGTTTTATGTGGTATAGATGGCTTTTACAGCCATTTTCTTGGAAAATCTGATAAAACAATTATTGGTCAGTCCTTCTTTATTGAGTTTAAGACCAATGTGTAGTTGTATTTAACTTTGAAACAACATCCATGTTGTCTTAATGTAAAGAGTTTAGCTGCCTGACTATAAATAAAAAAATCTATAGGAAAGGGAGGCATCCAAATAATAATAATAATAATGTCTAGTCAAATTGCCCTTATTTTAATGAGAAAATTGAATTTAAAATGAAAAATTCATTGGAATTTTATTGAACATTTTAATTTAACTGGAATTTTAAAATGTAAAAAACTTCAAATGATGATAATGTACTAAATGTGACAGGCATAATTGCATACATTTCAAGTGTTTGTGTAACTAATTTGTGATTGTTTTTTTTGTTGTTGGTAAATGTATGTTTGGTGTACCTTGGTCTGAAAAGTGGAGTAGAGGTGCGTAAGAAACGGATTGTCCCAGGCGAGAGCCAGCACTCGTTTTTCTACCATGGTGCACTCCACATCATCATCCATCAACACCACATCCTTCTTCAGTGCCTTCACCGCAAACCATTCACCAGAGCCCTTTAGCTCAGCCAAAAGCACCTGACAACAGAAAGATGATGAACATGGGTTTGTGTGAGTGACCTTGAGCATGACTGTATGTAGCAGCTACCTAAAACTTAGAAAAGGCAAAAGGCTAAGTCAGGGAGCTTCCCACATAATCCTGTGCCCCTCCACCATGATAACATAACATAAGCAAAACGTATTACCTCCTTCATGTCTTCTACACTGTATATGAATGTGTGTGGGAAAGAGAAATTGTATGTTACCTTGCCAAAGCTTCCCTTGCCCAGGACTTTATGGAAAATGAAATGCTCAGCAGTGATACGTGTTTGGTGGGTGAATCGAGAGGGGGGGCGAGGACTCAAACCCTCCCATAGACGACCATAAGGAGCCCCATCTGCAACATAGCTTTTCTGATAAACTGAAATCATCCTTTTTATTGTTATAATTACCACCATTTAAATCAAGCACTCTCACCATTAACATCAGATCCTGGACTTTTGTTAAAATCCTGGTAAACAGCAACATCCTGCGAGTTGCTCTGTGAGTTGCTTTCAGGTCGCTTGGTGGATTTCTATGACAACACAAATATATACAACTTTATTTCAGTACTTTAATGCTGTTATTTTTATATTAAGGGCCTCATAACAAGGGCTTGTGCAAACATTGATATATACAATTGAGACTTGAGTAAGAGCCTCTGCCAGTAGTTTCTGGTTGATGCCACACAAATTAGCCACTTTAGTCTGGCACTTATGATGGACATTCATGGAACAATCTGAAAAAGAAGAGACAATTGCAAACATAATCAGAGTCCAAAATTAAGACTAGCCAAACACCAAATAACAAAAATAAAATGGCTCCCCCCCCAAGTACATATAACTAGACAGTTTACATAGTTTCAGACCATTGAGCTGGTAACTATTTTTAGGTGTTTCTATATATTCAAATGGTTTAAACCACGATATAAAACACCAAAATATGTTGCAAGTTAAATAAATCAAAAAGGGAATTAATTATATTAATTTTCATAGTTTTATGGTCATAATAATTGCCAGTAAATCAGCAGGTTTGGCAAACAGTTAATTTAGGGGGCCTTATAATAATACATATACTGTTCACATAGTATACTCACCCTCGCATTTGAGGCCCTGTTTGACAAGACCCCACAGCAGACTGCCGCAATGGTCACAAAAGGTTGGACTCATGTAGTTGTTGTTCTTAAAGCGATGTGGCATGTCAATCTTAAAACGCTCCTTCTGAAACTGTAGACACAAACTTTAAATAATCCTATCACAATAAAATTAAAAAAAAAATAACGCAATACAGCACATACCATGGTGTCTCGACTATTGGTTGCAGTGCCGGTGCACCTTCCAATAATTTTATCAATACACTTCTTGTGAATGGCAGCATTGCATTCTGGTGGAGAAAAACATTTTTTAGGTGGGCTCAGGAACTAACACAGGTTTTCCGAGGCTCTGTGTGTTCAGTGTTCCTTAATTCTGGATAATACAATAAATCCAATCCAATCAAGTATTTCCCCTTTTAGGGTACAATCTAAAGCAAGTCTGTGGACATAGTATGTGGGCAAGTATTTAGGATAATGGGGGAAAAAAAAACAGCAAAATATACTCACGTCTGCACTTGTAACCTTGCTTGTTGAGACCCCTGGGCAGTAAAAGACAAAATTATAAGTATGTCTGAATTATAAACTTCTAATGTCTTTTAACTGAACATTCAGGACTGACCAAACAAAATCTCTACAGACAGAGCAGAAGGTGGGCTGTCTGAAGAAGGTGGCGATGAACTCATGGTTTTTGATGAAGTGAATCTTAGCCTGTTTAATCGCTCCACGACGACGAGTGAGAGTTGGTGCCTCGTCTTCTGTCACTACTGACTGATGACTCTCTGAGAGTGAAAGAGAAAAAACGAAACAGGATGGAAGCAGAATCAAACTGAAGGCATGAAACTTTTTGACAGTAAATGCATGAGATCGTTATGTCCTGAAAGCAATTAATTATAATTTTAATTAATATATATAGTATATAGTAAATATTATGCTTTTTTTATTCAACTTTTGAAATGCCTGCATTTTGTTCCATTCAGTTTTGGAATGAAACATTCAAAAAACAGTTATTTTAAATTGTAATAATATTTCACAAGATTACAGTTTTTACTTTAATTAAATAAATAAATAAATACATAAATAAATAAATAGGTAAGCATAAGAGACTTTCTTTCAAAAACATTTAAAAAATGTATTACAGGCCACAAACTTTTAAACAGTAGTGCACATAATTTTGTACATCCCTACACATCATTACAAACAAATCTGCAGTGGCACACTTTGTATTCTAAAAACATTAAAACACAATATAAGAGGACCAATGGACAGAATATTTGAAGAAGACAGAGTAATGCAGGGAAGATCTGTTGTGACATGTTCAGCAGATACATTCCATTGCACAGAACTTTAAAAGAAGTCCAAATGGATTCACACACACCCATACACACGTGATCAGATAAGCATGACCCCTCCCCAAGCTAACGGCAATAGGATAGATTCGAGCAGGGCTGCGTTTAAGTCCAATTTTTTGTGCTCTTCCTTCGCTAATTTCTATCCATCTCGTTCACTCGGATATACGTCATTGCTTACGCAGCACGAGTGCCTACAACTGGCGAAACCCTTGAAATGTATTTAAATAGAACACCCTAAGCCCTTGATCACTTGGAATCTGCTATGGAGCTGATTTATTTTGTACAGTTTTTTTCCTTATGAATTTGTTTTAGCCACCATTCTATAGGCCTGTATGTATTCTTGGGCTGTAAAAATAATAATAATAATAATAATAAAAAAAATAATATATATATATATATATAAATTAAATATGAATATATACATTTTATATTAAATATAAAATATTTGAAAAAATACACAAACGGAAAAAAACAAAAACTATAACTGTGTTTTATAGTCATCTTAAGGTAGCTACAAGTATTAAATGCAGTTAAATGTCTAAATTACTCCAATATCAAACACTAGAGTTGTCTGGGGTGGGGGTAAATTAAGCGTGACCTGCTGTGACGTCACAATCGTGTTGCATTGTGGTCTATGGATCTGCCTGAAGTGTACATGTTGAGTAGAAGCGCTCCCTCAGTCAAAATCAAGGGGTCGAGGGTCTGTCCAAATACACTTCCTTGCCCACTTGAATGGCGGCGGGGATTCCCCCGAGGGGAAGTGCATAGGGAAGTTTGCAAATGTATGTCTAAAAGTGGACTTAAACGTAGCCCAGGGCTTTAAATGAAAAAAATTACATTGAGAAGGAGCTCAAGGGTGGCACTGAGGTGAAACGCCCCTGTCCCATTACTGACCCATAACTCAGGGTGGATGTATTAAACTGCTTGAGCATAATATGAATAGCTCCCTTTAAATCTAGCCATTTTCATAAAAAGGGCATTTATATGAGAGCAGCAATCCAGTCTCAAGTTAATGATTCTTTAAGTTCTTATTTGGAAATGCAATTCATATTGTATTTAGTTTATTGCCAAATGATAAGATGCAGTCAGTATATGCACTATTAAATCACTGGAAGAGAGAAGATTGAGTGCATATTTGAGAGAGTATGCCTTACCTGTATCTAAATCATCCAAAAAGAACTGTGCAGACATCATAACTTTCCCTGAAGGCTGCAAATCAACCTGAAAATGAAGTGAGACTTTATAAAATTACCTGAGAAAATGCAAATATTGACACTACATGACAATGCATAGACATAACCACATACCCAAAATTCTGCACGTCCGTTTGCCTTCTTGCATCTTTCTGCCAACACAGACACACCCACAGTAACATCTGCTAAAGGTTCTTCTGCAGTTCTCATGAGTAGTATTTGTATCACACGTCCCTCATAAATATGTGCATCAAAATTGGATCGCCAAGCAGGATACATGGTGGGCTTCTTCTGGATCAATGTTTTTCCTCGTTCTTAAAAGGAAAATGGGATATTTTTGTGATCCAACATAAACCATTGGAAAAATGTTTGGAATGAAATACTAGTATACTTCACAGTAAAGTGAAACTATTTTTAAAAAGTATGTGAAGCAGTATGCAAAAGGCAGCAATAAACATTTCCGTTCATACTGTAGTATGACCTCATTACGTTGCATGAAATAAGTACAAAATATTTTCCTGCTAGTTTTGAAAATCAACCAGAAAAATGATATTCAAAATTGCAAGTGATATTGCTTTCAGTCACATGGAGATGTAGGTCAAGTCAGGGTTCATTGCATTTTGGGAAACAGTATTTCGTGCATTGTGCTCCGTTCTAAACTTCTCATTTGGCAGAATGAAATAGTAATTCAGTTCTATGCAGATGGAGGATTTACATGTTGTTCCATGTACACAGAGTATACTTCAAAAACAGAACAAGAAGCATGGCAATGTGCCATTTCAAACATAGCAATGCACTTGAAACCCCCATTACACACACACACACACACACACACACGCATGGACACATTTACTCACCAGTGCTGAGAGCTTCCTTCATTTTGACGGCACAGAATGGTGCCTCAACCATTGGCGGGAATGTGCCAAGATCATAGGCATTAAACGCAATTCTCAGGAAAGGGGCCATGGCAACCCCTCAGGCACAGCCTAAAAAAAGACAAAGACAACCAAAATTCTTATGATTTTAATAAGAAAGAAATACATCAGCATTACTGCATATAAGAATACAGAAATCAAAACAAAAATATTACTTCATTATCAATTTAGAACTTATATCATTATGTTGTAATTATATTTAGTCATAAACAGGAGGCTATACATTGTTTATGCTAGCACATGTGCCTGCAGAGGAAATTGTTTAGTCTCATTATTAGGGATCTTGGTGTTAATTTCTCAGTTCTATCATTAAATGTAATAGTAGCTCTATTGTTCTCTTAGCAGTTTCATAATACTTTGTTATGTTACTTAAGTTTTGTTATAAATTCGCATCAAAAATATATAGTCGTCCACCCTCTTTCTGACCTTTACCATTAAGCGGGCCATTTTTTCTGCTGCGCCTTTAAGGCTTCTATGTAAACGAGATTGAGTGCTTTGCTGTATTTTCTCAAGAGCAGTGGATTTGCTACCGCTCTGTTGGTCTCTTTTTGGTTCAGAAAACAATCCATGATGAAATGATCAGACTGACATGATGACAGTGACCATGAAATAAAAACAAACTTCCAAACACTGGGATTCTTTAGAAGGATATGCAGAGTGACAGGTGCTACACAGAACCAAAACCATTGCATTTTTACTCTTTTCATTAGTATTTCCAGAGTTTAGGAGTAAAAGTATCCTACTTCCTTCTTATTACCTCACTGTGAATGGGTGGACCAAGTACCAAAGTACCAAATAGACATTGACGGGGAAATGCAGGCATTCATCAGAAGGTGTCAGAATGTCAGAAGGTGTATAGGAATAAAGATGAAGTTTAGTATATCAACATGTATTCTCTGAGAGTCTGATATACTGTGTGTATCTGAGTCTATTTCAAAATATTTCAATTTCATTTGATTTGAAACATTGAGTGTATTTGTCTGTGTAAAACTGTGGTTAACCTAAAATGTCATTGGTCCAACAAATAGCTACTAACAAATTTGTGAGATCTGTATTTACTCAAGTGCTTTAAATCCAATCCCAATAAATATGATTAAAAAAAATATTTAATTGCAAATTAAACCTTTTTGCTAAGGTTTCTTAGTTTAATTCTCATGCGACAGGACCATGTAGAGAAAGGGCTCCTAGTAATCTATCTGTAACAAGGTTATCCCTTCAATCCTCAATTGCCTATTTCTATCACATTATCTTCCTTTATTGTGCATCAAAACATTTGGAACATGACCCAGATGAGGTTTATAGGTTATGGTAATAACTGAGACTAAAATTGATTGGTTTGTTTAATGTCAGGACTCCACCCACTTCTATCGAAAGCCAATGACATGAGTCAGGCTGTGACTGCAACATAGAAGCTTCATAACAAACTTGCGGTTGTTCACTGGACTTTAGACCGTATTACTATAGAGTGTGTAAGAATAAGAAAGACAGGGAGAGAGAAATTTTATCAGTCAACACACACCCATATGCACACAAACACACATTTCTGCTTTAGTTCAATTATGAAGCGTACGTGTTGAAACATGTCAGAAACCAGCACAGAAACGTTCAAACAAGTTGCAGCATCTCAATCTAAAAAACCTAAATCTGTGTGTGCTAGCGAATCAGTTGTGTGGAAGCCTGTGTCGATAACATAAGCTAGCAGCACAGTACAAAATCAATTCTGAAACAATCCGACACGTCAGTCTCTCCAATTTACACACACACATAATGAATACTGTCAATGCCTGATTCTTCAGCAAAAAAAAAAAAAAAAAGACTAGAAGAGCCTGAGCAACAAGTCTGTGCTCCTGTGTAAGCATAAGTCTGTAAATGAGAGCGATATAGAGAGGGAGAGAGATAGTGAGGGTGAGATGATGGGTAGGCAAACGTGGTAAACAGGCTCCATGTGCTTTTCTGAAAATAATTTACACATAACAGAGTTAAAATAAGTATTTAGAGAGTGTTTGTACTCTTAAACCTTATAACAAGCCATAACAGGAGCTGAAACAATTGTAAGGGTGTTAGAAGTGTGTTCGTGTGTACAAGGATTTGATAGGCATTCATCACCAGTACTATTGCAACAAACTACTAATCCTATAAGTATTAAACATAAAGGGATAGTCCACCTAGAAAAAAAAATCCTGTCATCATTTACTCACCCTCGTGTTGTTCCAAACATGCATGACTGTACAACATATTTTTGCAGAACACAAAAGAAGATATTTTGAAGATAGTTGCAAACCAAACAGTTTCAGTTTCATTGACATTGACTGTTTTGCTACCAACATTCTTCAAAATATCTTATTTTGTGTTCTGCAGAAATATGTTGTACAGTCATGCATGTTTGGAACAACATGAGGGTAAGTAGTAAATGATAACAGGATTTTATTTGGGTGGACTATCCCTTTAAATGTGTAACTGGTCTCGCACTTTTTTTCTATGTTTTTCTCAAATGGTGCGGTTTGGTAAAGAGGTTGAGGTGCGCAAGATATTTAGATTAGAAAATAAGATTTAGGATTTTAACACTTAAGAGTGGCCTCATTGACTTGGATCAGTAAGCAGGGTGCAAATTACAGGCTTGATCCTACCCGGACATGAAAACAAAACGGCGGGGACCGGGGGGGGGTCAAAGAAATAGTCTACCCGTAATATGAAACTTGGGTCATACCATTAACATTACCTGAGCAGCTGAATTAAATATGCTATAAAAACCACACTCATTCAGGACATGCATTTATTGCATGGACGAAGAACAAAATGTGTTTAAAATGCATATACACAGTTCAGTTAAATCAATGATAGCATTTGCCCTCCTTAATGCTGTTAATCTGGATGCATGGAGCAAACAGTTTGCTGAAAATATACTCAACTTAACAACAACACTGAAATAGGAGTGCACAGTTTATCTGTCAAAAGTTGCGTTCATTACTAATAATGGTAGGTATATATATATATATATTAGGGGAGTAACAGTACATTTATTCGCCCCGAATCGTTGCGGTCTGGTGCATTCAGTCAGACGACGAATACAGTCACAGGCGATCCACACTTCAATCCAGAAGGGGGCGTGTGCAATGATGCAATGCTGTTTGCAAACCGCCACAACCAGAAAAAAAGAGCAGAAGAAGAGACAATCTATGCACCAAACCAAAACAAGGGTGTTTCTCAATACCAAGTACACAAAGTTGGGACTTGCGAAGTTCGACTCAGGAGGACACAAGTTCGGTGATTCTGCAAATGGTACAGCAGCGTTCTTAATAACGTCACTCACTCTGGCTATTCCAGTTATCTTTGTGTATATTTACAATCAAATTAAATATGTACACCACCCTTCCTCTTTTCGTTTTATTTTTTATATTAAACATTTCTCTCTTTCACTCTCTCTCTCTCTCTCTCCATGGTTCAGGCAATATGTGCTTACGTACTCTTGATTATCTTATCGGATTATTGTTTTTTGTACACGTATGTACAATAAATGAAATGACAACTTTTTTGTTAAATGTCAGTTTTAATTATCAATATCCATTATAAAAGTATAAGAAGCTATACAATAAGAAAGAAATAAAGACAATTCAGCAATTCAGTAAAACGTACAAAGTATAACTCCCTCCGGGGGGACTAAATGCTGCTAGGTGGATCTGGATCAAACTATAATTTGCACTACTTTCTGTTCAAAATAAATAAAAAGAAACCTAGGATTGGGGATTTGTTGCTTTTTCCTGTTGTACCGAACTCGTATCGAACCATGACACCAAAACTGAGGTAACATTATGTAACGAACTGTGACTTCTGTACACATATATATATACTGATACATCGCTAATACATATAAATATATGTGTATTTGTGTTACACCCCCCCCCCCAAAAACTCTCTGAGCCCCCCCCCTTCCCCTCCCGAAGGCCATTGTGTAATTCGCACCCTGCCAGTAAACCACCCAGAACACCGTAGTACCCATACTGAAATCAGAAGACCTTAGCAACCGCATAGCAGAAATCTTGTTGCACATAAAGTAAAGCACAACGAAACCTCTTCACTATCTTTCACAGACCATCTGATGAAATTATCAATGTATTACCAAAATCATTGTAACTACTAGTTGTTTTAAAGTGCATGAAATACATAATCTAAGAATGTACTTCAAATAATCTTTCTTGCAAGGCCTTTCTGGAGTCTTTATGTTAATTTAGTTAATGTCGACAGGAGTAGCAGGTTTCATCACTTAGCCTATGTCCACAGTCATACACATACACCATTTAATATACGGGACAGGAAGGAACTATCGACACCCATGAACAGAATGAAAGAGTAGTATGGTGTAAACTGTTCAACCACAGCAGGATGTGTGTCTCCACTGCAAACAGTCATCACGTCATCACATGCAAGTGTAGGGATCCACAGTTAATATTAAAGGAAATATAACAGGTGTGAAATCTGTCCACAAATCACCCACAACAACTAAAAACACCTCCCATTAACAGTAAAAACCATTAACTAAAAACAGTAACAACCATTTCAAATTCCACCATGCCCCCAACACACACACTTAGTCATCTCAACTAGAGCCACGCTCCATCTGTTTTGTATATTAGATCAATAATCATTGATATTTTGAAGAGGAGCGTGTCAGTGGCATTTTAGACCCCTCAATGTCATCAATTGGGGGCATTTATGGACTATGAATAAGAGAAATGTGACAATTCACTAATAATAAAATATAATAATATGTTACTAACAGTTTTGTGTAACAAACTATCTAATGCCAGTAGGCTAGTCTACATCACAGGCGCGAACAGCATTTTTGGATATCAACAGCTCGTAACTCGCCTGTAATATACAGTTAAAATGCTCTCTAGGTATGTCACTAGGTTGAGACACAACAACCTCTATTGCCTTTTCAACTACGTAGAGTTGTTGTATAGCAACACAAAGTGCGGAAAAAAACGATTCTGTCAAGGTCCAGTAGACAGCAGCATACATGACAGTGTTGTGTGAAACTGCGGTTTGAACTGCGCCCTTTTCATT